GAAACATGCAGGCAAAAATGCACTCCAACCTTCCAGTGCTTACGGTTTGACTTACTTTGTTTTTAAATATGTATACCTAGTCAAATGAGGCCTAGGCATATTTTTGGTAGTTATACGTTGAGATGCTTCCTTGCCTTCCTGCTCCTCTCCTCACCACCTCCTACCTAGGTCCCAGTGATACTGTAGAAGGGCTACAGTGAACTGTTGGCCAGGCTTCTAGGCTCCTGTACAAACCCCCTCTGAAGTATGTATATAAGCTATTCTGTATTCTGAGATGTTCCCGAAGCTGCTATGAAAGCAAGCCAGAAAATAGTACCTCACTTTGATCTCAGAGAGTCCTAAAACCATTGCCTACAATATCCACTACTGCTGAGATAGTAGAAAAAGATCTGATGTGGCTTTTTTCCTATTGTGAATTTGTCTAGAATTGCTGAAACATTGCAAGCAACTGAAAAGTAAAACCTAGCTGTGGGAAATGTAAGAAATACAAATACATGAAATATGAAACTTACATAAACAGCCAGAAGAAATGGAAGGGATACTACTTATTAATAATCTATTTAGTACTTAGTTTTATTTTTATATTTTGCATGTACATTGTTACAAAAATGTGCCCAAGAAAATCCCCACTCTTAAAAAATATCTTATTTACAGTTCCTAATAAGAGCAAGCTGTTCTACATTTATTGCAGAGTGTATATTTTGTAATATTACAGGTTTACTGGTTTTTTGTTTTTTTTTTTAACTACTTGTTCAAATGAGTATTTACTTTACTTTGGGTTCCTTTCATCTGTGTTTTTGGTGGCTATGACAACGGACTTAAAATGTGCAATGAATGGGTAAAGCATTATAAAGAAAAGTACTTTAAGGTACAGTGATATTTGACAGGGCTGGACTGTTACTAGTCTCTAAATTCCCTGGCTTTGTCTATATAGCAAGAAACAGTGCTATTAACAGCTTTTGTTAGACTGGGACTCTGCAGTTCTGGAAGCTTGTTAACATAGACACAACAAACCCGTTCCATTGCAGTTACAGGACATCTTTGTGGTACGGAGGAAAGAACAAAAGACAGTGATTTTCCTGGATCACAGAGAGGAATCCAATTTGGCATCCGAAGTAGATTTAGTTTCACCTGCATCAGCTTTTAATTGGTTTTTAGTATCAGTTCAAAGGTATCTATGGGCAATCCATAACAGCTAATACCTAGTACAGAAATGGTGTATGCACAAATGGTGTATAATTTTATAATTTTTTTGTAGTAAGTTAGCTGAACAAAAGGTGATTGAAAAATGTGACAAGGTCTTTACAGCAGGGCTGATTCTGGGTGTGAGTCTTTGGGGGAATGGAGGAATCTTTTCCTTTGTTCTATCACTGTTAAGGGATTTGGTTTCTGTTCAGTGAAGTCTTCCTCGTACTTTTGCAAGATTTCAAGGCCAGAATCTTAAAATGGCAATGTAAAGTCTGCTTAATTTTGTTGTAATAGTGAAAAATAGTTTTTTAATTATTGTGCTGTAGCGATGATTAGTATACAAGCAGGTCTATGATCTTTCCAGAAATGCAACTTTCCTAGTGGTATTTAGTGCATTTCATTTACTTACTGGTCTTCTGTAAATTCTGTTCTGTGCAGTATCAACTAGAATTGTGAAGACTCACAGATGTTGTTTACCTTACTTTTAAAATGTGAAATGAACTGTCAGCTCAGCCAAATCTTAGTATTGGGTTCTTTATGGAGGCAAGGCATTGTTTTGGGTTGGGTTTGTTTTTTGTTTTTTTCTTATTATTCTGTATAAGTGAAAGAATTAATAGAACAAGCTTTTATTATACTGGTAAATTGAATTTGTATCATTGTCAAATAAAATACGTAAAACAGATCGGTGGTGTATCTATTTTCAGATTATTTACTGAAGTTTTTAAGTGTTAGATGTCTAAAGTAAGCTTTTGCATACAGATGAGGAGCACCAGGACTTCATTTTTTTAAAAAACGTGTAGTTGTTGGCACATGCATTCACTTAAATTAGGTAAGGCCCACTCATGAGGGAAAAAAAGCTATCAAAAACCACAGTCTTAAGCAGTTAGGCTTAGAGAGCAAAGAAAATTCAAAGATAAGACTTCAGCTGTAGCCATAACTCATTGTGCTTAGGAACCAAATGGGTCTTGTTGATTTTTTTTCATTTGTTTTTTGTTTTTAAGGCTGGTAACTTTTTATCCCTTGATGGTTATAAAAGTCCCTTAAGATTCTTTAATGAAATACATTACTGAGAATTTATGTTTTTAATGAAATAATATGCATGTGATGATTTCTTCTAAGAGATTATCATTTGGATGGTAATTAGATGTCATTTGGAAATATTTTGGAGTGTAAACACCACTTCTGAATGTTCTGTAGAAATTAATGTTTATGCAACACAGGATTTTAAAAATGTTATCTAAAGGATATATTTTAAAAATCACAGTTGAAAAATCTGGATATAGTCTTAAAATGATGCAACAGGACCACAGGAAAATTGCTTCTTTACCTGTGCTTAAAAAATGCCACAAGATGTCACTGTAGTCTTGATATTTGATATCATCAAACGTTAAAAATAGTAATTGGAACTGATTATAATAAGAAAATTGTATGAGGGAAAACATTCTTAAAATTAGAAGTTTTACAAGATGAAATTCATTAGATAATCATACTGGAACTGAAAAAACGTGGAGGTTATTTTGTACATATTTTTTACAGGGAAGAAGAGAAAGATTATTATAAGTATTTTCTATGCTTACAAAGGCTGTAGCTAATTTTGACAAATGAGAACTTGCAAGCAACAAAAATAACATTTGTAATTTTGCAAAAGGTATATAACCAGTATACAAACAACATTTGACAGTGAGGCTTCAGTTTCTAGTCATGTTTATGCCCTAGATTCACCAGCCTAGCTAGGTGGATTTACAAATAATAGGCTTTAACAGAAACTATGTACCTGGGGTTCTAGATACTGGATAGCTGCCCTGTTACACTGCTCCATCTTTGCTTCTGTTGCCCAAGATACCTTAGTTCAAGCTAACCTGAGTATGCTCATACAAGCTACCCTCAAGCAGAGTGCAGCACAGGCTTAGAAATCTATATAACATTGAACTGTAGTGAAAGGTTGAGTAAAAAAAGGTGTTTAAAAAACCACATGGTTCTGGACCTCCTCTCTTACATAGGATATGTCACTCCTTAGAGAATTGCTTGTAAATAAAAAGTGGAATATTTAATTTAATTAAGGGTTAAGTACAATACAAGTGAAAGTCATGCAGAACAATATAGAAAAAGATAAATACGTTGATTTCCATGAAAAGCAAGTACCGTCCAATAACCTTTATTTAATTTGCTGTTACAGAAGACTATGGGCTCAGTCTTGCAAGCATCTTGTATGAAATAGTACTTAATACTGAGAACAAGGTTTCTTACCTAAAATCACAGGACTGGGCCCAAAGAGAGTCATATTTAGGAATACTAGCTCTGGAGCTATGAAAAAAAAGGAAATAAGAGGAATTTAAGAACACAGGTACAAATTATTAGAGCCAATACCAAAAATAAGCAACTGTAAAACAGTTGCACCAGAGAAGTATTTTCTGTAGTACTTCAGCATATTTGTAAGGCTTTAAAGGTTATCCAGTGAGATTAAAAATTGAGGAGTTGAAAGTCACACTCGTGTTTAGCCTTATCTCCAGGGACACTAGAATTAATTATATGGACAGGTAGTTAGAGCAGGTTATTTATAGTGTTAGGAAAACATGCTGATAATAACGTGGGCCTCAGGGCTGCATATTGCTTTGTCTTTTTAAGGTGTTTCAATGGTGGAGTTTTTGTTTTGAGGAAAAATAACTTTTTTTTTTGCTCCTCAAGGTACCTCCCCTTTGCAAACTTTTGTTTGTTTAGTTGTAAAACCGAGATGGGTCGTCTGCTCTGTTTGGTACTTACTATTTCCTTTTAAAGGGGAGGTTGATAGAAGAAAGACATTTCCAACGCTTTTAACGCTTCTATGTCTTTGGCAGTAAGTTAATCGCAGACTACAAGCTAATTCAGCTTCTGCAATGAACTACCAGAAAGCTAACCTTTCACTTTTTTAAAAAAACATCAAGCTACAAGTAAATTTGTGTAGTTTTAGGAGAGCTTCAGAAACACGTGTGAAACCCTTCACCGCCAGACAGATGCCTCCTCGGGCAGAGCGGGAGCCCGCTTCGTGCACAGGGGGCCGCCCCGTCCCTTCAGCGGCTTCCCCGAGATCTTCCCCTCAGTTCTCCACAGCTCACAACGCTGCCCGGCAGACGAAACTCACCCTCGTCTGAGGGAGGGAAGGCCCAGCCGATGACAGGAACCCCAACGGGCGGCAAGAGAGGCGGCGGCCGCCGGACGGAGGGTGCCCAGGCTGTGCTGAGGGGAGCCCCGCTCGAAGGCTGCGCCCGGCAACCGCCCCCTCTTCACCAGGCACCGTTCGCTCATTGGCTGGAGTCGTGAGAAGGCGGCTTTTGATTGGTGGGTCGACTTGTCTATCAGGAAAAACGCTGGTGGCGGACCGGGCTGGGCCCCGCGCGAATAAGTGTCCCGGGTCGCGGAGAGGGAGCTCCGCCGGTGCGGCGCCTCCCTGCTGCCCTGAGGGGCCGTCCTGCCCGGCCCGCTCACCTCCTCCCCGAGCTAGACCTGCGTTGGTGAGGTGCCGGCTGCGGCTCAGGTCCGCCTCCCGGCGAGCCGCACCACAAGACCCGCTCTGTCTCCGTGGGGCGCTTCGCCTCGGGCGAGAGGTAAAGGAGGCGCTGCCCGGGCGCGGAGGGGGCCGTGCTCCGGCGGGAGGTGGGCGTGCGAGCCCGGCTGAGGCGGAGGGCGGGGCTGTGCCGGGTGCAAAGCGGCTGCCTGGCGGAGCCGGGGCGCTGGCGGGCTGCCCGCCCGGTGGCGAGGCGCTGAGGCGGAGGGCGGGGCTGCCGGACCCGGGGCGGGGGCGGGAGTGGGGGCCGGTCAGTCGTACGCCTCGGCCCCGGGCCGGGCGAAACAAAGGCTCGGCGAAGCGGTTGCCAGAGCGCCGCCGGTCGCCTGGTAACCGCCCGCTGCCTCTTTATCCGGGGGCGTCTCCTGGCTGGGGGCGGGGTGGAGCAGAAAGTCTCTGCGGGCGTTCGCCAGCCCGCTCGGCGGCTCGCCGTGTCCCGGAGCTAGTTCTCGTCTCCGCTCCCGTTCCTATGCGGGCTGCGGCAGCGGCGCTCCCAGCAGCCTGGCCCTTAGCGGGCGGCCCCTCCGGGCGGCGGGTGGCTTCCCAGCGAGCGCGCCCCGGCCCCTCCGGGGCTGCCCGGCGGCACCATGAGTTCGGAGACGCACCGCACCTCGCTCTTCCGCGCCCTGTTTAAGATGGAGCCGGCGGCAGCCGCCTCCGAAGTGCTGGGGGGAGCCTCGGAGTTCGTGAAAGGTGAGAAAGGGCCGGGGAGCCCTCCCTGTCCCCCGGCCGCGGGGGGTCCCGCTCGCCGGAGCCTCCCTCAAGAGAGGAGACACGCTAGCTTCTTTCCCGTCCTCCCCGTCTCCCTCCCCGGCTCCGTGGGCTTTGCTGCGTGCCCGGCTGGGCTGCGGCCCCCCTCGCCTTGCGGTTCCCGCGGGTTGCCTGCCCCTCGGCCGCCGCGGGGCACGCCAAAGCGGTTCCTTCCTCCTGTTTTTCCGGTAAGAAGCGGGGCCGGCACCTGTTGCTATGTGCGGCGGCGTTCTGGGTGAGAAGTACCCCCCCACCCCGCTCCGGTCCCTCCCGAGGGGTGTCTGGGGCTGCCCCGTGGGCAGGGCCCGTGGGTGGAACGGGCACCGGCGCTCCCGCCGGCTCCCACGCAGGAGAAAAAGGCTCAGCCGCGGCTCTTCCGCTGCCGGGCCGCGGCGGGGCGGGACGGGACAGCCGGCGGGGTGCCGTGCCGCCGGCGGGGTGACAGGCGTTGCCGTGGGGAAGCGGTCAGGCGACCGAGGTTTGCCAGTCCGACGCTGTTGTCCCAATCTGTCTTTCAGATCGGTTGTACTTCGCCACTTTGCGAAATAAACCGAAAAGTACCGTAAATACCCACTACTTCTGCACTGATGAGGAGCTGGTCTATGAAAAGTAAGTGTTGCGATCTGTTGTGTTTTGCATGCTCAAAGCGATCACCCGGGGTTCTTCCCAACGCACTTTTAATACTTTTATACAGAATATTTTTGCCCCGTTTAGCTACTTGCGCAAAGCATGAGTGTAAAGTTAGCCTGGTTATATTTATACATTAGCTGAAACTAGTTTAACAAGGTTGCTGTTTTAAAAAACCCAGAAACAGCTACAAGACCAGTTATGTCTTAAGTTGTGGTTGAGCTAGGGGAAAGATATCTGAGCTTTGTAAGATTTGTTTATAAGGTGGAGAAGATCTCTTAAGACTAATTGCATCTTATTAAATGGTGTCTTAAATAGAAGACTATTGTTTGGTATGAATGGATGAAACAATAGTTTGTTTTATTTTCCTATACAGAGAGTATGAAACCATCACCGTTTATCCAGAATCATAAGAATGCAAAGCTTAAATGTGCTTTTGTAGAACATCTGCAACTTTTTTTTTTGTAAGTCTGCAGAAGGTTTTGCGAGAGCACTTCCTGTTGTATCTTGTAGCTTTAGAAAACCAGAAAGCGTTTTCTGTGAAGTAAAAGCTTCATGCATTTGGAAGACACTGACAGCACATAAAATGTCAACAGTGAAATTGACTATAGTTGTGAATGCTATTAAAGGACATAAAATACATTAAACACATAAAGGAATTGCTCCATGCTGTGGTTAAAATTTAGTCGCTCTACCCTGCGTTTCCAAACAAACTGTTTCATCTGTGGTGCTGTATCTAGCCGTTTGACAAGGGGCTTGCTGCAGTACAAGGGAAATAAAAAATGTGGTGTTATGTTAAATATAACTTTCTTTCCATGTGAATTGAAAACCTTGTGAGCATCAGCCATTCTTCCTTCCCTTTTCTGGAGACTTTAGTACTGCTTTTGTGAAGGTGTAAACTGATTATTTTTTTTTTCCCCTTGGTTTCAAGGTTCTTCCTGTGCACAGCTTATGGTTTTGGGGTTTCTTTTCTACATATGTTTTCAAGTCTTCATTATCTGAGCTGTGTGTCTTCGAGTGGAGTTACCAATGATTCATTTCTAAAGCTGACTCTTGTAATTAACTGCTTGGGTAGGGAGTAGGTTCTGTAATGATCATTAGCTAATTTAGGTTGGAAGGGACCTCAGGAGTACCCTAAGGCAAGCTTGACCTAATATTAAAAGCAGAATTCAACTGGAGAAGATCCTAAGCAATTTGTGTTGCATGAATATGTTCTACTTTTCTTTAATGAAAGAAAAAATTGATCTTTTATGTCTTCTAAGACTTCTATGTTATGCTTGTCCTGAGGTGTTTTCTTTCTAATTCTTAATATACTTCTAGGAAGGTTGAAGGAATCTTATGAAGGATTTGGTCTTGGGAGTGGGAAGGGAGAGCATTTCCATACTGTGTTAGTTACAGATGATTGTTCTAATCAAGGACTGTAACTGGGGTATTCTGAGTGAGGACAGTATCATATTTGAAAAAAAAAAAAAAATAAATAAAATGGGGAAATTGGAGGGGGGGAGAAAGTAACTTTCTTGAACATGTATAAAGGAAATTCTGTATGTATAGCCCTTAACCCAATTACCTGTTAACCACGTACCAGGGTGTAACTTGATAGCAGATAAACTATGAGATAATGAAAGGAAGTGGTTTCCTTTATCTTCTAGGGCACATCTGAAGACTTTGGGGATGTAACTCATGGTTTATTTTCTGACTTCACAGTTCCTAATCTATTTGGCCTTTTTTAAAGTTATCATCCTATATTTGATACTGTAATAGTACTCTCCTTTTTGTACTCTCAAATAAATTGCTAAAACATTGTATGAGGTAGAAATTGACAGTTACCAGGTGATATGAATGAATTTTGTGTAATAACCTAACTCTTTTATATAACAGTGCTAAACTTACCCCTTAAATTGCGGCACCCATCACTACATGCAATATTTGGTAGTAAAACCGTGCCTGATTTTATTCTTAATTTTTCCTCTCTCTTCCCTCTCATCTGCAAGAAAGTTTATATTGTCTCAGGGAAGTAAAAGCAGGTGTCAGTAGAGTTACCTTTTTTTTTTTCAATGTCTTTCTGAAGTTGGAAACCTGGAGTTAAAAGCAGTAATAGAATGCAAGTCTCTTGGTTCTTGAGGAAACACTGATTTTACTAGCTTTCTTTTTCCTTATCCTCATGGGCAAGCTTGACAGTAGTTTGTTATGCTTCATAGGCTGCATAGCAAAGTGAGAGGCCTCTACCACTACTTACAGACATCAGGAATTGTCTGTAAGTAGTGGTGGAGTGTGATTTTTTTCATACACCAGGTCAGATCATCTGTTCATTTTATCAACAATGTAGCCTTCTTACTGAGAGAGCAATTAGAAATACTTGTTACATGATAGCAAAATAATTGTCTAGAAGTTGTTTTGTAAGTGCTATTGCTGAGAACAGTGGCTTCCAGAGTATTTATTCGATATGGCCTACTTCTGCTGTTCTTGCTGATCAGAATTTCATGGCCATTTCTGCATTTTAATCAAATGAGTTCAGGTTGTTACAAGGAGGAGGATAGAATATGATGTATACTCAACCACAAAATCCTCAGCACCTGTGAGGTATGTAAGTTATCTTGTTAATATGACTTTTTATTGACTTAATTTGACGTAGATGTATCATTCTAGTGACAAGACAAATATACTTCACTGTGCATGACAGTAAACTGCTTTTCTTTGGGCTGTTACTCTTAACTTTGGTGATAACTCTTAATAGCTGACTACTGAGGTGTCAGTTTGCTTTTACTGAAGTAATATATGATCAGAAAACCTCATGAATATATAGATTTGGGGCTGTCTGATGACAGGGGATGTGTTATTGGATCATATAGTACTTAAAATCTCACTGCCTCGCTTCCTTTTTTTTCCCCACTCTTGAAGAGACTTAAGGAAGTAATAATGTATGTTAATAGTATAGCACATTAATTAAACAAAACAACTAGTGCTAGGTCTAATGGGTTTGGAAGTTTAGGTCTGATAAATGCTGACTTGTTCTTGCACTTTGTTGTATGATTTATCACTAAATTGTACACAAAGTGTGGTTATGTAATCTTGAGTACTTTAGTCTTCAGTTTTCACTTGAAGTTGTCAACTCTTAATGAATTCGTAACACTGTCTTCACTTGTTTAAACATTCACACTTTTAAAAATAATAACGATAGGCTTAAATGCTTTTAAGAACACTTCAAATGCTAGCTGACTGGGAAGTCACTGCTAGAACTGTCATTACTTTGGTTAAATGTGCTGCAATTTAACCTTGAACCTATTATGCTGGGGAAATGGCATGTAAATGCCTCAGTTGAGGGAACAAGAAACCTGAATGAATTAATCTAATTCTGAATTCTCTTTTTTGATTGTTCTGTTTCTGTAAATTTTTTTTTTGGTCTTTCTGAAACTCTCCAAGGTCCTTCCTGAGAGTGTCTGCACTACTGCTTATAAAGGAATAAAATCTTTCAGGGTAATATAGCGCAGGTAACTATTACTTCAGGAAAATGGAGTTAATGAGAAATAATCCAGCTTGATGAAGACTGTCATTTGGCAAATAGACAAGCCTTGCCTTGGCAAGACCTCAATTAATGAGTTAGGCACTAGTAAGAAGCTTTTTATTCTCTAAGAATAGTGTCTTTCATGTTTCACCTTTCAGTAAACAGATCTGGGTTGAGAATACTACACTTGACTGGTTAACTTGGCTTTTGCATGTTTTTATCAAAGCAACTTCTAATGTCCTTTGCATTGCTGAGTAGTTTTCTCAAACTTAAAATTTAGATAATGAGAAACAGGAATCTCTTACTGATAAATTAGAACGGCAGCTTTCATAAAGCATACTCTTTTTTTTTTTCAGTCATTTGTTCTGACTTAGGATCTCTTGTATAAACAGCTTTTGCAGATCTAGTCTCTGGCATCTTGTGAGCAGCTGTAAAAGTAATTAATATGGTATTCTCTGTACATCCTATGTTTTACACTAAATCTTTCAGCCGTTACTTGCCCATTTCACAGCAGTCTTAATGTTAGCAGTTACTTTGAGCTCAAGTAGCAGTAGAATAGACTCTCAAATGCTCAGCTACGGCAATATTAAATGAGTACTGTTAGGACTTTAACTTGCAGGACTAGTTTCCTTCACCGCATGCGTAGATGCAAAGAAGCAGTTTCTCTTTCCTGTAAGAAGAGTAAGGGCTAACTTGTTTGGTTTTAGTTTGGCTAAATGCTGCTTTTCTGTGGCTACCCAGTAACATAACTTGGATAGGAAACCTGAACTTCTGTGTCCTTCTGTGGCTTATGTCATTTGAAAGGAAAAAGAAAACTTAAACTTAACCTTGTTACAAAAAACAGAGCTGTCGCTTCACACAGAGAACAGGGAGTTCCTTGTTCACAGCAGTAGCTTTTGAAGACTTGAACTTGACTATCAGATGACCAAGATAACTTAGTAAGCTGAAGTCCACAAAAAAAAGAAATTGGGAAATTGCCCAGCTTCTATCAATGTGAATGTAAATACAGAGCAGAAAACCTTCGTATACTAATACCATCTTTTGTAGGTCTTAATTCTTATGCATGAATATTAAAAGTAGTACTCTAGCTTTCCATCTGGAAGTTTTCTGTCTTAATGAGAAATCTAAAATTCGCTGCAAACAAAATCTAAGAGCTTAGAGTGGGAGGGTCAACTTTTCCTTCAGACATGAACTCCTGACATAAAGGGTAGCATTTTAAAAGTTTCAAATACAACATTAACACCTGTGGTGGTCTCTCCAGTCCAACAGCTTCCTAAATTTTGTACCCACACATTGCTTTACCACATCTGTCTTCACTGCCTCATATGAGAAAGTTAAAAGAAATTGCCTGAAGTATTGAGGATTTTTGTTTGCTGTAAAAGGGTAAAAGAATAAGACAGATCTGTTCTCTAGGCTCCAGTTTATATCGTAGCTTGATATAGGACACCCCTCATGAGAGACTTAGGCTCTGTTAAGATTACTTTTTTTTTCTCCGTAGAGAGTAGGTTTTCAGCATGACTTGAAGATTCTTCTATAAGGAAACTTTTTGTGGGAGAATCTCTCCACTGATACTTTGTTCTTAACATCAGGAAGCATTGTATCAAAAATGCATGTACCTGGGATAGCTATTTAATAATCTATAGTTTGGATCTATGAGTTCATGTTGAATTTCAAAGATTTGAGATTTTGAGGAGGATTTGGAACATTGAAGGGGAAATGGAGTGAGTACCTGGTGTCTTGCATAATCTAGAGCCCCTGTGTTATTCCTGCGTTCAGATGCAAGTAGCAGGGTGATATGTAATTTCTAGGGTTATACTTGCTGTATCATCCTTTCTCTAGTCACAAGTGTGCAACCCTTAAGTAGTATTAAGCATTAGGGATTTTGTCTCAGCCCAGATAAGAAAGCTCCTAGCAATTCACGTGTTACTGGAACTGGTGGGACTATTGAGCATCCCACCTTTGTTTATGTGCTTGAGAAGTTGGAAGGAGGAACACGCTCTAGGAAACAGGAGTTGGAGAAAGAAGACTGAATAGGTAAGACTTCCTGACCAGGAATTAGATTGTAGTAAATGTGCGGACTGATCCTCTTGGCTTTCATCCAGAAATTCTGTTGCATGTAAGATGATTTCAGCTTAAGATTTGAAGCATTCATCTGTAGTAGCCAGTTGGCTACTTCTGCAGTAGCTGCTTCTTGTACTGCTTAATGGCTAGATTCAGAGCACATGCAGCAAGGGCTTTACAGTGCAGTGACCTGAATGTTCCAGTAATCCAGCCTAGGAAACAGGGAGAGAAATGCGAGTGGAGAATATTTTTCTTACTCTAAATCAGTCACATTGCTCAATTTTAATAGTAAGCTGGATCTTTGTAAAATGCTGAAAAACTAGCATAATTTTGCAGTTAGGAAGTCGTATTTCGGCTTGTTCCTGTTTGAGTAGTTGCGAGCTTGGGGTGCTTCTCTTTTGGCAGAAAAATGACTTTACATGGTTGCTTGTCTCCAAGAAGGCAAGCTTCCTACCTAAAGGAGTATTTGTACTTCAGTTCCCATGTATGTACTCCAGAAAATGATTGCAATTGTTAAACTGTGCCTCTGTTTTTGAAACCAGTAATTGAGTAAGCTGCCATGCAAGTAATGTCACCCCCCTGAGCTTTATTGCAGTGTTAGAACTGACTTGGTGGATCCATCCAACCCCACCCACCCCCCATGGGTAATTAGGTTTTGGACCATATTCAGACTATTGGAAATGCATACTCTTACGTTCAGTGTAAAAATGACACTGGTCTGTTATGAAGAAAAGAATCCTGAAATAGCTTTTCAGATAGGAATCTTCTATCCCTTTATCCATACCTCAGTTACTGTATCACAAAATTGTAAATGAATGGCAGTATAAAATTACTGCTCTGGTGTAATCATCTGTGAGGGGAAAAAGTGTAAGTACTGCAATTTATCGTTGGAAGATAATTTAATACCTTTGCTATAAATAGACTGTGATGTTAATATGAAGGTTATCAATTCATTTCCAAGTCTACTAGGCTATAGTATTCCTTCATTGACCGGTAGTTCAAGATATCAAAGCTGTTTATAATTCTTCTGCTGTACTAGGGTCAGCAGTGCCCAAATGCTTAATAAAAAAGTGACTTTAGCATTCAGAAGAGGTGCCCAAGGCTTGAGCTAACTCATGGCACCTTCACGTGGCATCCCTTGGTACTGCAGTCAGAAACAACTGGAGAAAAAACTGTCCTAGAGTGGTGGACTACAGTTCTTTCACCATTAAATTCTCTGGAAGAATGTACAGTAAGTGCTTGCATGACAGAGTAAACCAACAAGCTCTTAATGGGCTGGCCGTTCTAGGTGACCGTTCTTATACTCCAACGCAGCACATACCTCAGATCTTACACTATAAGAACTGATGGGAAGGAATGGTTCTAGGAGTCTATTCTAAGGAGTATATGGATATGAGTGACTATGCTACTGCTTCCAGGTAGCATTATGATAATATTTTTGAAGTAGAGTATTTTAATATTCATCTAGTATATTCTGTGGGCTTGCTACTTCTTAGTTTGAGAAGCATAAGGATAGTAAGTTTCCATGGGATGAGGGGGAAGAATAATTTAAGCTATCATCTAAGTACTTGATTAAAACAAAATATAATTAAATGTAGATTAATACCATACTTGCCTTCTGTTCCTCATATCTGGTTCCCACCTCCATTGTAAATGACTGTCTCTCTTAACTGGCTTAAGCTTCAGAGGCATCCTGATTTCTTATTCTGTATAAAGGCTTATTAACACTTTTAGACACAAAGAAAATCTATTACCTGTAAAAGAGATAGAAGTAGAATAGTATTGGCTAGACTGTTATCAGTGACTATCATATAATAAGATTTTATTTCCTTTATGTTTTTTATCTTCAACTCTTTTGCCAGATAGAAGTCTTTATTCAGGTGATGCCTTGGTGTGTCGTTTCTTGCTCATTCCCCTTAGCTCCCATTTCCCATCTTCCACTTACATTTAACTCTATGTCAAAATTCTGTTCTTAAGAAGCAAATCCTCTGGGTGAGTCAGGATCAAGTGTCTCTTATCTATTGCAGATGAAATTATTTGTAAATTCACTTTAATGTGTTTTTCTAACACTTCTGTTTGAGTTTACTCTTGTAGAAGTGGATATATGACTTCATATTGATGTACTTTTAGCAAATGAATAGTAATAGAAACTTACTATCCTAAAGCATGGCTATACTCCTTTAGTGCTTTAGATGAACTGTGTATTCAGTTATATCTTTGAGCGGATCAAAAGCTACTGTGCTCACACTGGTTTAATACTAGAATACAGAATATTTTTTTAACTATCATATCCCACGCTTTTTCACAATACTTTAAAAAGTATTTTTCACAAAATCTTCTTAATCCTAAATTCTACTCTTCCATCATATTTAAGTGAGAGAATACTATAAAATCCATGGAACAAGATAGAGTTGGGTTTTGATTTTTTGATTCAGAGAAGGTATTAATGTAGCAGAATGGCAAGAAACGTTAGCCTTCTTATGTAGCTTGCCCTACAAGCAACATTCACTCTAGTGTTGTTAGAGCTCCAGTTATAACTTCCTGTTTGATGTGACTCATACTTGTCCTTCTTAGAAATTTTATTTCCTAACTGTAAATGTAGACCATATCTGGCAGACTTACTAAGAAAAGATGAGGAATTCTAAAGCTAAACTCTACTGCCACTGCAAATCCGAGTTAAATTATGTGCAATCTACAAATAAAGTCTGAAGAGTTGGACAGCTTAGTCTTTGACCCAGCTAATAAACTTCTTTAAGCATTATGTTATAATATTTTTTGCTGGAAGGTTGAACTGAATCTTAACAAATGTTATCTGGTACTGTAAAGTAGATGGTATTGAAGCAGAATTGGTGTGGCAGGCACTGTCTTATTTATTTATAATTGTCTCTTTTTGCACTGGGCTTAGCTTTTTTGTTAGAATGTGAGGAGGGGTTGTATAGGTAAATAATGATGTTGTAAGCACCAAAAAGATAGAGCATTCCTACTTTGTTTTTGTGTCTGCTTAGAATAGCAGAAATGGCTGAAGCTGGAAGGCATCTCCATAGATCATCTTATCCAACCCCCAGGCTTAAAGCAAGGTCAACGAGAGCGAGTTGCTTAGCTTTGTACAATTGGGTTGTGACTCCACAGCCTCACCGAGCAACCTCTTCCCAATGTTTGACTGCTCTGTCAAAGTAAAAGTTTTCTTCTTGTGTTAAATCGGATCACAATTTTTGTGAAAAATAAACCCTCTGCCACAGGGAAGAAAGCTGTTCTATCATCTGATTTCAGGAAGTTTTCAATACTTCAAAGGCAAGAAGTCTTAGAACCTTTTTCTTTTGTCATTCCCCAAATAACATGCATTCAGGTGCTGATGGGCTGTTTTGTTTGTCAATAGGCAAGAACCACCCTGTTTCTTCTATTGGAAGACTTTAAGGCAGAGCAGATTGAAGCAGTTTAAGTTATAGTGCATTCTCACTGTAATTTATAACGTATGCATCAGTAAATTTTCATAGACCAAGATAAAGACTTCTATACACAAAAAGGAAAAATACTGGAGAAAGTTTGCAAGTTAAATTTTGATCAATTTTGAACAGTGGGTGGGGAGGGAGAAGGCTCTAGAAGGTGTCACTGAAGTTGCTTGCATGAAGGCCACTATTGCTTGTAAAGGTGCCTACATGAAGTGTTTGCTAGGAAGAGCACTGTGAATCCCTACCAGGAACTTATTTTTATTGTGCAATAATTTTCCTGTACAGACTACTGCTACTAGCTCTTACCCTAAGGGCAGTGATTGCTGCTTCAAATGTAATGTGAATGTTTAAGAAGAATCTAGAAGAGAGAAACAAGAACAATCAGAAAACATGAAATAAATAATAAATTGGAAGAAAAGCCCAAAGACAAGAGTACTGGGGGCACAAGGGGGAACATAATTATATGTAAAGTGTATATGTAATATGTACTCTCTGGAATAGTTGAGGATGGGATAAAAAGAAATACCTAATGATAAATTCTCATCTTAAGCAGTTGTAGAATGACATCAGGCATGGCTTAAGATGTAGTAGATCATCTCTTGAAGTTCTTAACTCCATAGTTTTGGCCAAAACTGGACTGGTTACTATGGGATGAAGAAAAAAATTCTGTATTTAAGATGCTCCAGTAACTACCTTTTCCATTACATACACACACTAAACTGAAGCTACAAATGCTTTTGAATTAATTGTTACTATTATCCTCTTAAATAAGTCAATAAAGGGCTTATCTGTTGCACCATATATATTAGCTACTTGGTAACCTCCAGAAGTTATTGATTTGCTGCTTTAATTGTCAACAGCATACATGTTGAAATACGCTTAGCTTTCCATGTAAATAACATTTTTTTTTTTGTTCTTGTTCTTCCAGTTTCTATGGAGATTTTGGACCATTAAATCTGGCAATGTTATATAGATACTGCTGCAAACTAAATAAGAAATTAAAGGTAAGCTTTGTTTAAAAACAATATTCCTATATTTTTGTGTTTTGAAATTCAAATAAATGTATAATGCAGTTTGAAAGTGGTTGTTAGGTGCTCATTACCTAGATGTCTACTCCTAAACTTTAAGGTTATTCTTTGTTCTGAACTCTTTTCCCTCTGAAGAATGGAAAAAAAACAATATGCTCTCATTGTTGCTTAGCAGGTGAGGCACTGAAGGATGTGTTCATCTTTTTTTCACAACCTTACAGTTTCAAGACAATAGTAACAAAAATCATTTGGGATATTTTATGGGTTTGGAGCTAATGAAGTGGGTACACTGGTATAAATAACTGAAAAAACAGATTTAAAAAAAACCCAACCAAACAAAAAAACCCACATGCATGAACAAGAACAAAACACGGCCCCTGAAATCACACTATTGAAACTAAATCTTACTCAGCAGAAAAGTTAAAATTTCTAAATCTCATACGATTTAATGTTACTTCTAATAAGTGTTACAGAAATGTGTTTTTACACATGGTTCTTTTTCTGTCGTACTTGTAGAAGTCACTCCCAATCAGTTAATTTGTAGAAGCTTTCTTATTTTCTTGCTTTTGTATAGTGTTTGTTAATGCAAGGCAATTTTCAGTTGCTTTTCACTAAAGAGAGAAAATTTTGGTATCTTCTTTGGATACTACAGTAGCTTTTTCTTTTGATTTCAAAGTGTTAGTCCTTTCTTTATAGAGCTGTCTTAAACTTGTAAATATAACAGGTAATTCTGAAGATCACCAGGGCTGAGTTTTGTTCCTGTTACAAAACCACAAGCCTGATATGGGTTGACCCTGGCTGGAAACTGAACACCCAGCACTTGCTCACTCACTCCCACCCCAACCCCAGTAAGGGACAGAGGAGAGAGCCAGAAGAACAAAAGCAAGAAAAACTTAGGGTCTGAGATAAAGCCAGTTTAAGTGAGGAGAATAAGAAGTGAGGAGAGATGATGGGGGGAACAAAACAAATGGTGCAAAGGCAATCGCTCACCACCTCCCACCAGCAGATCAGTGCTGAGGAAGTCTCTGACCAACAGCTATTTTGGAAAGACAACACCCTGGTTGTATTGGTGAGCTCGATGTTATATGGTGTGGAATATCCCTCTGGTCAGTTTGGGTCAGCTGTCCTGGCTACGGACCCTCCCAGCATCTTGCCCACCCAAGCCTACTTTGCAGAGTGAAAATCAGAAGGGCTTGATGCAGTGCAAGCACTGTTTGGCAGTAGCTACAACCTTGGTGTGTTATCAACACCGCTTTAGTCACAGCACAGCATCAGGCAGGCTGTTATGAAGAAAACCAAATGCCATCCTTCACATGGTACACTGAGCATGTAGCTGTAGATTTAACCTGGTTCCCAAACACCTATGAAAGTGATTTGCAGCATGTCTAGAAAATTTTTCAGCTGCAAGAAATTAAATGGATGTTTAATTCTGAAGTACTAATTAGTATCACCTGTGTGCAAATAGCAAGGAGACCCTTCACTAAATATTACAGATTTAAAATCTTTATATTATAGAATATTAGACCTGTTACTGACAGAAGGGGAAAATGGGACAGCAGTTGTGATAATGTTGGCCACTGTTAAGAGGATTCTTGTTCAAAAATATTATTATGTTTTGGGACTCGTATTTGCTGCACAAATGAAACAATTATGCAAGTTGATCCATGCTATCTGCTGCTTCCAGGGGCATTTTACTTAAAGTCAGGTAGACTTAAGAGGAGGCTCTGTAAATTGGGAGGTTTGCAGAATTGCTATAACCTTTTTGCAAAAAAGTGCTTTTATTGAAAATTTACATTGCTGCTTAATACAGAGTTAGTTACAAATGGGAAAAAAAAACCCCAAACCTCTTGTATTTCTAATTTTTAATGCTTCTGTTCATATTAGGGAAAATATAGGATTTACTGTTTCTGTGTTAACACTTAAGATAATATATTTATAAGCTCTATTACTACCTTGTTTTGCAGTACCACTGTCTCACTCAAACACGTGACCAATGATGCTCGCTCACTAGTAAACTTTTTCACCGTAATCCTACTGTTTGTTATATTTCAGTTATTAAAGATGGTGGGGAATGCTTGCTCTGTGAAGTGGTTACTCCAGAGAAGAACCAATAATAAACCTACCGTTCTAACTACAAGAACAAGATAAATTAGTTTTTTGGTTTTTCTGGATTCAAATTGAGACTATGATCATTCTGGGACCTGAATACAGTCTTGTGTGTCACTGCTGAAGTCTACCTTCATACTTTTGTAGCTGAACTATAATGCCTTCAAACTGAACCCTAGGTACAAAGAGTTTCAGCCAGAAAATAAGAACACAAGTAATAAATACCTAAGGACTTGTGTTTGGTTTTTTTTTTTCATGATTTAGTATTAACAGGAATGTCTCTACAGCCTTTACTCTTGTTATAAGACCATTATCTGCATTCAATGAAGCAACTTGCTCTTGATAAATGGCTTATAATCATAAAGATTGTATATTATAATGGAAAAAATACGCAAGGGAGCCAAATTGAAACTGAATTAGTAACTGACACTTTCAGGGTTGATTTGGCAAATTGTGATGTCATTTTAATGTGACTCATATTTTTTTGAAAGAAGCAAACTCTCGCAGTACTAGGTGAAGAGTACAGATGTAGAAGAGTACAGAACAAGACAGAAATCTCTAGTAAGTCAGGTTCAGTCTCAGCTGGGAGGAGGTGCTGGCTGTTGCTGCTACCTTACCAAATGCTAATTCCAGGTAGGTTAATTTAAACTACTAGTGCATAACAGAGAAGGGTAACCTGATAGTGCAACCACTTGAAAGCAATACCTGGGATCAAACAGCTAAAGCTTGGAATACCACCTGAGGGGTATAGAAACTTGCACATGAATAGACTTGGGTTTGACTGAGTGGCACTACCCCTGAGGTAGGCCACCACCTACTAATGTAAGCTTTGCTTTTCTAATAGTTAAAATAAACACCCAACTCTGTCTTAATTTAGATGCTATCTGTGGTGGGTAAGTAGGCTTGTAAGACCAAATCTCAGTGCTGGAGCACGCATCTGGTGTGTACTGTAGGCCTAGCTACAAAAGATTACTGCTCTGCTTCACTAGTTGAAAACTATGACTTCAGAGATTCTGCCCTTCTGCCCCTCACCTTCTCATGTCTGTGTTTCACAAGTGTCCCGGAGAGGACTCCTGAGGCCTGAACTAGTGTGTGTAAGACAGAAGTTCATGACCTGTGACTTAACTGCCAGCAAAGCTTTGATGCAATGGGCAACTGTAGCAGCAAAAGTATGGTAATTCTCATGTGGCATCAGGGGGACACGTAGGCAACCTGTGATCAGTGGTTCAGAGATGGGGAAGTGCTGATTGGACTAATGACATGGAGAGAATCCTGTTGGGCAACTTGCTGCTTGCATACCCTTGCATTAAGGGTAACCTTTGCCCAAGACCAACAGCAAGAATTGGCTGATTGTAGGAAGTAAAAGGCACTGCAGATTGTCGCGCTCTGGAAATCCAGCCTCTGCTGCAGGATGGTGGCTGTTGCCATACTGCAATACTTTTGGGACCCTGAGGCAATCACAGTGCTTAAGACCAGAGGAGTCCTGTCTCTGATATATACCTGGTTGGGTATGCACTTCATGTACTCTTATGAAAAGAGCCTTTAAAAGAAGGGTGGCACAGAAGAAAAATTATTCACAAAACATGATAGTTTTTGTGTGGAAATGGTGTCTCAAAAGGAATTTAAGGCTTACACTTTTATGATGTTTAAAACTTCTACGAATAGTAACAGGTGAAATGAGGGTATAAAATCTCATTAAAACAAACAAACTCCACAAACTCCCTTTCCAAGCCTTTCAGCTCTATCTATTTCTGTTTTGGGAGAGGAGTTAGAAATGGAGGCAGTTTTCTGCTTTCCGCTCCTCTTTCTTGCAGACAGGTGGGGAAGAAGAAGGATACAAGTTTGAAGTATGCTAATGGCAGACCAACATTTTGAACTAAACTACTGTAACTTTATGTTGACTGGTTTTTTAAAACAGTGAATTGTTCTGAAGAGCTGAAGAATTTATTCAGATATCAATTTGCTGAGAAAGTCCTGGTTATGCTTTGCAAGAAAAGCTTTCTGACCTTGCTGTGTTTGAAATGTTTTGATTGTGGATTGCTATGGAGATGAGCTTGACTAGCTAAGTCAACAGCAAGAAAAAGTGCTTGTCCATGCTGTCTTCCTACTTGTTCTTTGAATTCTGTTTGAGGGAAAAAATGCTTGACTAAGGAACTGTGATTCATTTATTCTGTTTAAATAAATCTGATTCATCAAAACTGCTTTAAAAAACCTGCTGTGTTTTATATGTGTATAGCCTTACACAGTATCAGTAAATTCAGAAGCAAGTGTAATCGGAGGGAGAGTGTTCCTGAGACAAATGACACAAGTATGGAAGATCAAAGGCAAGAGAGGGAAGGTTCTGGCAGGCTTATGAACTATGTGGTTAATATTTCTTGTATGCTAACTGTATTGCTGCTGAATCACAGAGGGGTTTGTTTTGTTTTTTAAACATAAATAAGTTGCTGGGCATACACATGGACCTATAGTAATTGCAAGCATCTCCTTTAGGACAGCTTAGACTTTGAGGCACGCTGCATGTACGTGTGTTAATGTCATCTTCTATGAAAAGTTTGCCAACCTTGTTTTCACTGGTATTTATATATACATATTGTGGATGTATACATGTAACTATATATAAAAATAGTATTTTCATGGGTCAAGGCTTATTAAACACTGCAGTAGTTTCTTGCTTGAACAAGGCAAGTATATTAAACCATATCCATTAAATAAAATACTGTCAAATAATCTGGTAATTTTAAACAGATACCAATAAAGTAATTGCCCACAATGGCATCTTCTAAACCTGTCATAAAGTTCTGTGCAAGTAAATGTCTCTTGAGGTGTTCAGGAATCAAGAACTAATCTATTATTAACAGGGGAAAAAAAAAATGTAATCTCACAGTGAAAACATTGTGTTCTGGAACCTTCTCATCATACAATCAATGAATTAGTGTTACCACCTAAAACAAAACCTGCCACACTTTGCATTTAACATCTCTTTTTAGTTGAAAAGATTGTCCTTGAGTATATTCCTTTGGGATGTATCTTGACAGATACTGTTCTGTTATATTGTTACATTTTGTCTTCTAACAATGTGTGAAAAATACCTTTACTGCTTCATAGTGAGTGTGTTTTGCTTTAGAAAAAATATTATTTGCAACTGTTACTATATTATCTCTAACTATCACTATTCTGTAGACAACCTGTATTGAAAAAAATCCCTTGTTGAAACATTTTGGTTCTTCAGAGTTGCCCAGTATCTGAGGGAACTAAAAACCTAATCCATTCAGAGGGAACTTCGGAGCTGTAAAAACAGCCACCCTAAAGAACTGTCTTTAACGTTTGTTACCACTGAACCTAACCAAAGGAATAGACTTAGATTTTCTGACCGTGTTTAATAAACTATGTATTTTTATATATAGATAGATCACATAGCTTAGTACTGATACTGAAAGTGTATTGATTTGAGAATTTGTGTGTTAATGTTAACAGAAGTGTTGCATTGACACTTCAGCAAACACTTAGTGTAAACTTGATTTTATGTAACACGTGCAAATAAAATCCGTGGTTTGTTTTATAGGCTTCTGAAAAATAAAATCTTGATGCAGTTTTCCTCTGGTTGCTATGCTATAAGCCATTAATTAATGTCAGCTTTCAATTTTGTGTTAACACTTTAGTCAGTATTTAAAAAACATTATAGGAATATGACTTATAAGGACTAAACCCTTACATTTTGAAAATGAAGCAGTGAAAATTATATATTGCTTTTGTTTAAATGTTCTGGGAACTTTTAAAGTGAGCTGTCAGGTTTTGGCCCCTTCAGGTACAAAAGCATCTCAAAATTGGAATGATTTGATATACTCATGTGATCAAAAGCATCCATTCTGTAACATAAAACAAGAAATATGATCTTAGAACTTATGGCTAGCTAGCAAAATGTGCTTTTTGCAGTTTATAATAATATTTCAGGTTAACTGTAAACTGTGGCAAAGAACTTTGATTTAAAATAAGCAGTAGTCAATAAGTTATAATTGAAGTTCTGTCACTGTTGCATAACTACTGTAATCTTATCCCACCTACACATCATGGGTGGAATTGCAGTTAGAGAACACTAAAATTAAAAAATTGAGGAGGGGGAATAAAGAAGGGATCTTAAAATACTGGGATTAATTTTGTCAAGTTTTAATAATAATTGAATGCTTCACTAATTAAATAACTACTTGTGCTTTATATGTTTGCATATACAGAGAGGGAGATGACGCTCTTGGTCTCAAGATATAACCACTCCCAATCAAGAGCAACCAGCTATCTCAGGAATTACAGTCCTATTTAGATCTACTCAGTTTCATTAACTCTCACTCCTTCCACGAAGGAAGTTGTAAGAAGGCCAGAGTGGAATGTACAGTTAGCACTGCAATTAAAGGTGCTATTTCTGTGGGGGGTGGGAGCAAGACGGTCGCTGTGGTCCACAAACTCAGGAGAAAACCTATATATCAGCCATTTGTTTTTTTGCAAAACTTGATGCATGTGGCTAAAGCTGTCCTAAAATTTGCAACAAGATATAAGATGAGAGTTCACATTTATGGATTTGTGGAAGTGAAATATAGTTGGCAGTACTCAAATAAAACACAGTTCTGCAGCAGTTCCTTTTTCTTGCACGCCTAAGCATCATCAGTGCCAAGAGTAGAAAAGTAAATTTAAATTGTCAAATTTGAGTTAAAAAACTGAAATTGGGTAACAGTAGCACTGGTATAAAGACAGTTTATAAAATGTGCAACTCTAGAAAATAGAAATACACTTCAAATATTTAGTAGCAGATTCCAGTATGCCTACTGATGACTTCCTCAAAACTGTAGTAGTACTGTAGAAATCTGTTAGGAAAAACATGAGTAACAGTGTTGCAAAATATAATGAAAGTTATAAGCCAAAAAAGTTATATTTAGCTAAAAAAATTAAGCTAAAAAAAATTATAATGCAAAAAACTGTCCAACTCACAATATTTAAGTTAAGACTTTAAATAGTTTGGCTGCAGCTTTGTCATTATTGTTCTTTTCTTGTGCTTGTTGGTCTTGTTTTCAATGGGAGTTTTGTCCACGGGGTTCTGACAGAGGCTTCTTTTCTTCTTAAAGTAAGAATTGGAAGTGTTAGTAGTTTTGTCTCTGCCCAGCCTTTTTTTCAGGCCTTTCACTAGTGAAATCATTTAATTTTTTATAAATTCTTGCTGTTGAAGCTTTTTAAAGATGTCTGTCACCCCTCTTTTCAGGTAGTATAGATTGAAGAGTGGAGTTTAGCTTCTAAAATACCTGTAAGATCGATTGCTTCAGTTTTTCTCATCTTCTCCACATAATTATGTGCTAAAGAGATTTAACATATAGGAGGATGTTTTAGTTTGAAAACAGCATTGTCTTAAATCAATATTCATAAGCTATTGTTCAAATATTTAAACTTGGGAAAAAAATTCCAGTATTTTATATTGAAAATTTTGGTTTAACTGCATTTTATAGGATATTTTTGTACAGTAAACTAAGAGATCTGCCTTGATACACTGCCTGTTTCCCTGCACTCTTGCCTATAATGTAAGAAGATTGTTCATGGTATCAGTAATTTTTTCACCTTTAATTCTAAGAATTTCAGTAAGAATGTTTTCTGATTTATTTTTCAGTTTTTGGAAAAAAGACTTTTAAAAAATATTTTTAAAGTGTATTCTCCTCTCAGTAAATATGCTGTCTGTTGTGTTTGGTTTTTTTTAACAGTATTTCAGTCTATCAAGAAAGAAGATAGTGTACTATACCAGTTTTGACCAGCAGAAACGAGCAAATGCAGCATTTTTAATAGGTGCATATGCAGTAAGTATTATTTATCACATGGATACTTCTGACCTTCCTTAAGAGACACCTGCTACATGTAAAGATCTCAGGGGATGGAGCTTTAGGGAGGTAGGCAGATTGTCATTTGATTCTTCTCTAAGCGGTTGTTGAAAATTCTGCTGTATGAGTTTTAGAGAAGCCCTGTCTTTGGCACTTAACTCTGTTTACTTTACTACACAGAGAGTGGCTTGGATGGATCAGGTGCATGTATTCCATAGGATACCATTTTCTTGAATGTCAAAATTGCAAAAGACAAACTTACCTCTAAATTTAGCTGTCTTAGGATCAATCACTGCTCATGGCAGTAGTGAGATTCATACTGGGGAGGAGAAAGGCTGTGGGGGAAAAAAAGCTTTCTTAAAGTTAGTAGACCAGAAGCATAGTGATTACTAGATGGATTTCTTGTCTTGGTTAATTTGCATAGCCTACTCAGAGTAATGGAAAAACAAAGATATTTCAGCATTTTAGTATTACAGATAATATGCAATACACAGGGCGTCTTAGTTACACAAGCCTACTTTGTTGTGCTATCACGTAAGTTTTGATAGTCCCAAGCTGACACTTGCACAGCCACTTGTGTGTCTTCATAGCAGTGTAGCTCAAACTTCAATTTCATCTTTCTGCTCTACTGTCCAGAATTGGAGCACAGTTGTAGAAAACTCGAAGTATCTTTGCAATAAAGATGCTGATAAGGTTGGAAATTAGCAAGCTGCTCGTTCTGAGCTGGCATCCACATGGTCAGCTGAGCTCTGCAAGTCTCTGCTAAGTCAGGCATTACACTGTGTGGAAGCTGGGTTATTTCTTTCAGGCCTGAGGTCATGCTGAAAGCAAAGATCAATAAATGCAGATGATAAGACTGAAAGAAATTAGGGTGCAGATTCTTGTAATTGAATAAAATGTTTTACGAGTATGGGGATAGTGTGTAAATGCTCTTGAGAAAGAGCATTTGTAAATTTGAAGATGGAAAAAAAATTGGGGTTAAGTTCAAATTTTAAAAATCTTTTCGCATTGCCAATGTGTGAAAGTTAATTGAGAAGACTTGTTTTATTTATCCTGATGTTAAAATATTAAGTGTAAAATGAAACGTGGAAAACAGTGGATCAGGTTCGAGGAATGGGTTTCCAGTGGTGATTATGCAACTTAGATTGTTCCATTAAACAGCTTCTTAAATAAGTTAAACTGTAATACCCTATAGCTATTAAAATATTTTAGTAAGAGACTCATAAGTTTAAGTGAAAGTTAAGTCTTTAAACTTTATTGGCGGTAGTTTGCCTGTTAGATGTGTTTTCTAAATTTCAGTTTTACAATGGACTTTCAATACATTTGGGCTAATCACGTCCAGTTGCTAAATTATTTTCCTTGCTCTTAAGAATTCTACAAAGATTACTTCTGTCATAAGATTCAGATTAAGAAGAAAAAATATTTAAAGTGTTACAAGAACAGAAGAACATTTAGACTTCTCTGATCTTACAGAGAAGTTTAGGGTTCCTTTGAAGTGGCCAAGACTACAACACAGACTGTTTCACTGATGTGAGAAGCAGGGTGCTACTACGTTTTACAAAGTCTTACCATGTGCCATAGAGAATATTTTGAAGCTGGTATTACTTTGCTTTTCCCTTCATCTGTTTGGAGACTTAATTTAGTTGTTAGGGAGATCTTTAAAAATTGTTTTAAAATAGTATTCAAGTACTTCTATGCATACAAAAACTAAAGTAGCCTGGTTTGACTTTGTCGATAGTAGTTTTTAGGGGGAAGACAGGTGAAAAGGTAGTAGGTTTAGCTGAAATATACTGAAGTGATTACATTAACTCCATGCTTGGCATCAAAGAATTTGTTCTTGGAGAAATCACAAAGGAGAGTGCGTTATCTCCTGTCTGATAACATATGGATGAATTAGGGGCTGGGTCCCTCTTTCCTTATTCTTAAGTATTTGTTATATTTCTTTTCTGGTTGGAAAGCAAGGAACCCCTACCTGGTTGTGCACTCTGCTGTGTAGTAAGGTTTGAATGCACTGGGGGAGAAGAGCAGGATGAATAATACTCTGTTTGTACAGTGACTGCTCTTGTACTTTTAGAGAAATGGGGCAGGAGGAAGATAAAACATGTGTATGACACTTGCTATTGCTGGTAAACCTAGAGCTTTCATTTTACTCTTGTAGCAGACAAGTAGTAGTTATCTCTTGCAGTACTTGACAGACCAGAACTTGGTAAGTGGACCAAAATCTGACTTTTGAGCAGTCCTGGTGAAACATAATGCTTTTATACTGTGACAAGCTCTGAAAAGAGATCCAGTGAGCTCTTTTTCCTTTTCTTTGTAGATAGCAGGTGGGCTGGTCATACTTCTTTCTCACAATTACTTTAAGTGTGTATTTTGGTAGTAATAGCTTGTATTTGACTTCTGTAATGCTAATAAGGGATAAAAGCTGTTGAGTTCTTTGGTTTTTAATTTTATTGCGGCAAATGACTGGGTAATAGCAATCTAATTTGGTGTGTACAGTCATTTGCTTGCAGGAGTGTTTTTCCCTATATGAGTTAGACTTCTCAGCCCTACCTGAAGTTCTACAAGTTTATTCTCTTGTAATCTAAGCATATCACACTACTGCTCAAATCCGTAATCCCTCCCTTGGAGGGTAAGCAAGCACAAAGACTTTTCAGTTACTGCAGCATATACAGCCTCTTTGCTGTTTCAAGCACCACCGTTCCTCAGATTCCCTTAGATTGGCTTCACAGAATTCTTGTGATAACTTAGTAGCTCTGGAATGGGTCTGTGCCATACACTTTTATTTCAGAAGTGGCACATGAGGGTGGGAATAAGATGAATCCAAATTGTATTTGAAATATTGTGGATGAGTGTTAAGGTGGACTTGCAAAATACTTATTCCCTACTTGTAAACTTTTTAGGACATAGGATATGAATTTTCTTGGCAGTGTGTATGTTGCCACATGCTATGAGTTAGACTAGTGACAGTGGGGAAAGGGACAACCTTGTCCCTTGTAAACCAACTCTTGTAAGAGAATAGCTCCTATCTGGGAAGTGACTTTTATTTTTAAAGGCTCTTACTTGCATTATTGCTTAGATATAGGTTCAGTTTTTACGAACTATTCACTACAGGCTCCTTGTGTTGTGGGTTTTTTTTATATATGTTGCAGAATGAAAGCACTCTGAAGATTCATCATATTAGATTAAAAAATGAAGCTAAGTTTCAGTTGCTGAATTTTCATTGATAAAGATGAGTCAGAAAATGGTCTCCTGGGTTTTTCTTAATGGATAACACTACTTTTTAAGTACTGAAGACATGTACTGTAGTGTTTCCTTCTCCATTTCATTATCCTCCTTCCTTCAATTATTGCATTATTCTTGACATCTGTGATACTTCTGTTTTTTCAAGAGCTCTCTTCAGTGTTTCTTTCTCTCTCTTCCTTCCTTTTGTGTTCTTAACGTCTTTTTCCTGTTTCCATCCTGATGTCTGTATTATGAGCTTTGTGGACAGACAACTAGCAGTGTTTGCTTCAAAATATCATGTGTATGTGTCTTTGAGCAGAGACAGCTTTGAAGTCTCATAACTTATGCGAAATAAAAACTGCAGCATTGGGAAAACATTCATATAGTACAAATTTGCCCCTAGTTCAGATTTCTGACTTCTTGCTGTGTAAGATGGAAACTCATCTTTCCCTGAAGTCCTCTAAACTACCCTCTAAGGACCTTTTGACTACAAGCAGGAATTTAGGCTTTAAATGTAAGCTAATTGATGTGATTATTGACATTAATCGACATAAATAAAATCTGTATTTTTCTTTGAAATACACGCCACCCCCCGCCCCCCCAAATCTATTGCACAGGATGCATTGTTCTTAAATGCAAAACTTTTGTGGTGGGTGGGGGACTGTAAAGGAAATATAACAGAGACTTCTTTCATAGACTAAATGAATCTTTTAGAAATGACTGAGAAAGAATAGCATTGCTATGCTGCAGGGGCTGAAGGCATGAAGTCGGTGCCATTAGTTAGCAATCATTGCTGTAGGCAGAAAGTTACAGCCTCAAAATAAAATAAATGGGCCCCTTCCCTTTTTTAAATTAAATAAATCTCTGAATCTGTTTCAGTCTTAGTAATTACTGGTTTGACCCCAATAACAAAGAGTTAGAAATAATTGAGTTAGAAACAATTGTTCTCATAACATAGAATAAATAGAATTTAATACAGAAATTGTGGTCTGTTTTGGTGATAGGTTTCAGGAAACCTTTGCTTTTGGAGGCTAAGGAGGGGGGAATATGGAAGTCCAGGCAAATACAGGCACATTAATTTTGAGAAACAATGTAGTGTTTCTCAACATTAGATGTTTCGAGATATGTAATTTGTGTCCCTGCTAAATGAAACAGCAATGTTGACACTGCCTCAGTGTTGAGATTTAACATTTGAAGATAAGTGGGGTTTGATCCTCTTTTTGGATACTGGTTGTACTGATCAGTGCTATCGATGTGCCCATGATGAGTGGAGCAGCAGCATTAGGGGCTGAGACTGAAATACAGCTCTGTGTCCGGGAATTTATCTTTTGAAGGCAAATAAATTTGTGTAGAGGGTTTTGGTCCAAAATTAGACCAGTTTTTCAAAATGATGAAATAGCTGAAAAACAGAGATGATTCTGGACCCTCTTTTCATTGCATCATGCAAGGAGTTTTTCACACTGTTTTACTTGTCATTTTTTTTGGTTGTTTTATCTGTATCTGATCTTTTGTGCTTGCCTTGTTCATGCTTGAGGAAGAAACACAAGAAAATCTACCTACCATACTGACTTCTTAGAGAATACTAAGAATCCCATTAACTTGAGATATGACTCCAGATATAAAGCAAATTGCAAATATTCTGGGAGTGACCATGGCTTACCTATATTCTAATGTGTTCAAGGTCAAAAGTTGAATAAAGCTTTTAGATCAGGAATTAGACAATGTCTTGGTTAAGAAAATAATTATTAGAATACTTTATATTCAACAGTTAAATGTGCATAGCACTAAAAAGTAGCCTGGTAGGTGCTGGTTGTAAAGTGAATTGAGGGAAATGGCTAAGAAAATTGTGTCTTCATTTACAATACATGTTCGTGCACATGGAATATACCTCATGGATGAAATCTTTTTTTGTAAATAAGGCACTTGCTTAATATGTATTCTGAGCTAAATTTATTTAGGAACACTTTTACTGTACAAATAGGAATTGAAATGCAACAAGATGTGGCTGTGTTCTAATTTCTTTCATAAGTAAGCAAGCTGAGCTGGAGGTGTTCAGTGATAGCAGAATGGTTTAGGGTGTTATGTTAATATATGTTGGTCTCATAGTAACAGGTTCATCTTGTTGAATTGGATAATTTTGTTAATTAGTAGTTTGATACTGATAATTAGGAATCAAAAAATATTTGTCTTGGAAAATCTTCCATTGAGCTGTGGTGGAGAAATGTTTCCCTTGTCAACTGCAGTGACGATATTTTGACTGATCTGAAGCTGGACAGAGAACTTCTAGCATAGATGCCTGTTTTTCATTTTAGTATGAAGTCTCTCAGTTGCAGCAATATGTGATTTTTAATTTTTTAAAAGTGGGGAATGACAATAAATTGATTTCTGAATCTTTTACTTTGTGTAGATATGTCTTTTCTGACCTATAAATGTCATAGGAGTTGGTCATAAAGGAGTACAGTGTATATTAAGAGTTTAGTGGTCTGTGGGAAGTGTACATGTGGTTAATGACTTCTCAGGCTCAAGGCTTTTTTTTTTTTTCCCTCTTCCCCCACCCCCTTTAGGTAATATACTTGAAGAAAACACCAGAAGAAGCTTACAGAACGCTTATGTCTGGATCTAATCCACCATATCTTCCATTTAGGTACGTGAACATGAGAAATGGGCTTAACTGTGATGTTTTGGAGTTTACTAAATATAAATTTTTCAGATTGCCTTCCCAGAAAAGGGTTTAATGTCTGATACAGATGTTGTATCAAAGTGACTGATCTCCAGAAAGCATTTATTTATTTATTTATTTTTCTTCTAGTGAAATTACTTGCTCTGTGTTGGAATAATAAAACCATTTCAATTGATTTAAGTTTTAAGTAACACTCCCAGTCATGCAAACTGTCAAGTTTAGAAAATAGCTCTTAGCATGTTTGTGATTTAACAAGTAAAACTTTTCTTTATGATGCTTTACTATTTGGAAGCAATTAAAATCTTTTCAATTACCTAGTACTTAACCGGCTAGGTTGAATGAAGGGGGTTTTATACTGTTATATTTTCGCTATTTTACCGAACAAGTACTAACGTTCCAGTTATTAGATTGCTTTGCCTTTCTGTTTTCAATGCATGATAGTTAGTTTCTATCAGTTTGTCTTTATTTATCTGTACTAAGGCCATACTAAGACTTATATCTGAGGAGTTTTAGCTGTCATGTCTGTCTAGTAGACTTCCAGATTCTTTTCATGGTGTGGACCATGAAATGCCCTTGGACTTTGTGAATGAAAATACCTTGCAGTATTCTTATGCAAACGCTGGCAGTGAAAGGCAACTTTAAGAAGGTCAATGTCCTCTTTTTTAGGGGAGTCAGTGTTTTACAAGTAGTGTTCACTGTCAGCTGATGCATTTGTAAATGTAGATCTACCTTGTCTATATCAAATTCATCTGATTCTACAGCCACTTACCAAAGGCATATCAGATTGTTTCTCTTCTTACAGCTTGTACAAGAGCCAGATACAGAATAAACTTTGGGATGGTAGATTTCTATGTGAAGACCAGTTTGACTTTGAAATCTTAAGCTATCAAACACAAATGGTATCAAATTATAGCTTTTATTGGCGGAGAGTTTATACATGTACTTGGTTTCAGTAGCTCTCCAAAGACCAAGAATTTTACTGAGCTCTTGATATCCATATTTTCTTCAGCTAATTATAAAAGACATGTACAATGCATAAAAAAAAATGTTACTTTAAACACGTCAGTGTTTTTTAACATCTCCAAATTCTATATAAAATCGAGGCATGATGAGCTAAGTTAAACAGAGTAATGTGTAGTTTTCCTCCAGCTTTTAGATTCTTTGTTTCCTGGTCTTCTCCCAGTTTGAAATAATTACAACAGTCCTTTCCATTTACAGAAAGTTGGAAAATTGCTACAAGAAGTTATTTGAAGTAAACTCTATTATTCTGAGCATAAAACCGGTGTGAATACATTCTTCTGTCTCCTTATCGTTTTGGGGAAGAAGCAAGTGAACTATTTCCCTGCAATGTTTTCCTTCCTTCTGGGGATTACTATGTAGCATTTTAGTGGAGTCTAAAAAAACTTGATCCTCCCTTTCATATCAAATTCTCAGTGGTTCAACTTTGGCAGGAGTACTAATTACATAAAAGAGCTTTTGATACTTAAGTGACTTAAATTTTTCAGAATCTTAAGCTTAGTTTATTCAAAACTTGCTCAAAAAGCAAAACTCTCTTAGTAATGGAGGAAGTATGTTACTTGAGAATAGCTGTATCTTGTTCACCAATTAAAGAAAATTACTGTTTGGAAATATAGTAAATTGTTATGTCTTTAGGTTTCTTTCTCCCACACTAAAGTTAGGATAGAAAAAGGTAGAAAAGAGGTTCTGACAAAGCAAAGAACCTTACTTCTCAGATCCCAAAACTGTAAGACAGAAAACTTGGAATAGTGTGTTTGCATAGCAATCTCATATAACCCTATTTGCTTAAACTAAAGGCTATAGTCCTTTGCCTTGCAATTAGTTCCTTAAAATAATGATGATGATGATAGTAGTAGTAATAATAATAAAAAATGCTATTTCTGCTTAGCTGGCACAGTAACAAATTTAATGACATGAAACAATTTCATTTTAAGTTAAATAAGCAAATTTATTTAAGGATTTAAAGCAAATCCTTGTGAGTTTGAATTCATAAAATTGTATTCAACAATAGAATAATTAGCTACTCTGGGATCAGCAAAGGAGGGGTCAAAAATACAAGAAACAGCAAGATTTTCTAAAGATAGTTTTATATTATATACAAAGAGTATTTCATGTTTCCCAGGGGAGAGAATGCAAACTGAAAAGACTGAAGAAGAGAATGTCCAGCAAAGGCACTACTCATTTTTTGCAGTCTGGGTTGTCATAATAATTAAAAGTATAATTACTTAATTCTGTTTGTCAGCTTCAAGAGAAGAGCAAGATAAATGTATAGAGCAGGCAGCCTTCCAAAATGTAACTCCTCTGCACAGTCTTTGTCCGTGTGTTTCAAGTGCTGGGTTCCTGGGGGATAAATGATTGGATAAAACTAAAGCTTTTGAGGAGGTTGTGGGGTTGTTTTGTGATGGATTTTCTGTGGTGTGGTTGGGTTTTGGTGTGGCTTTGGTTGGTTGGTGGTGGTGGTGGTGTTGTTGTTTTTAATTCAAAGCTTTAGCTATTTTAGAGGGTGGGAGGGAGGTGATCTTCTTGAGCAGAACCTTGCTGTTTCTAGAAGGAATATAGCGTTACGAGATTTTGCTAGAATTGAATATCTTGATTTCTTGAGTGTTCTTTCTTAAATGGCATGGGGCTGGAAAGTGCTCAAGTTTCTTTTGGAGCTGCTTTGGACTGTGTTGGGTCTTGGCACTGAATTAGAGCCAAAGCAGATCCTGTTACCTGCAGTATAGTTTGTCCTGCTGGGAAAAAAGGCTGTGTAATCTAGCTGGATGGGAGGTGAGACAAAGAGGAGCGAGGAAAAAAACTGAAGGATCCTGACAAGATAGGAGGTTAGGTAAGAAATGAGGAGGCTCAGAGAGGGCATATTTGGGAATTGAATTCATAGGACAAGGCTGGAATAGATACGTAAGGAGCTTAAGAATTACTGTGGCTGAGAGAAGGGCAAGTAGGATCTGATGAAGGCCCGCAGTGGAACAATAGATTAGCTGGGAATGGGGAAGAAATAATTTATTCCTCCTTCCCTGGTTTTCCAAGGCCTTTGAGATTTTCTCAATGTCTATTCTAAGACATTGGAGACATCTCTGGTACAAAATATAGTGTGATACAGAGGCTCAAGCAAATGAACCTGTGCTGGAAGCAGTAGCACTGCCTTAGGTAGTATATCTGCTTAGCAATGAGATATATTGTGAAGAAACAAGTTGGTGCTATGAAAAGGTTTGCACTCCTTCCACATCTTTAATGTCTTGAAAAGGACTAAAATGACTCTTGCATACAATGAAAAACATAACCCAAATGTCTTACCTCATGCCTCCTATTCTAAGGTCGAGGAAGGAACTAATTTGATACAATAATCATTGGTATTCGGTACTTAATTGACATTAATTTATTCTTGGAGCCTGGAACTTAGATATTCTATAACTGCTATAGTATATTGAAGTGCAAGAGTTTATCAGTGAGCAACGGTCAGTTAAGTGTTACAGCTAGACTGTTTAATAAGTTTGTTAATTTGATATCTGAATTATCTTTTATTTAGAGAAAAAAACAAAACAGACAACTTGCAATAGGTAGAAGCTGCAGGGTTGTCATATTCTTTACGGAGTATTGAGGTATGTTTACATGAAGTGACCACTGGGAAACAGATCTACTTTCATGTAGCTCAGTGACCTCAAAAAACCTTAATCGGCTTAGATCTTCAGCTGGCATTTCATTTAAAGACAGCTTCAGCAAATATTGTTCAGGGGTGGAAGGAATTCAGAATAGCCATCTTACAAGATACATGAAAAATGTTTTGGTTTTATCATAGAAAAACTAAAGACAAAGCAGGAGGATAGGGCACTACTATCTTTGAGACACTTTCATCTTATTTTTGGCTGATTCACTGTCACTTGGTGATGCTCTAGTCTCTTGAAGATCTTGTACTGTGTCTTTTCACTTTCATTTATGAAAATGGTGCTAACAGCATTTTTCAGTCATCATAAATACCAGTTTCCTATTCTGAAACTAAGATTTAGACTTTTACCTCAAACTACTCTGTATTGACTTTAATATGAAGAGAAAAAAAAATCAGTATTATTGCGTTCAATCTCTCGATATGACATGAATTTCAGAGCTAGATTTTAGTTTGTAGCTTTTGGGTTTTGTTTCTTTATTGGCAAGTGCTGGGTAAACAAACTGGTTTGCTACTGACAGTGTTTAGAGGTTTGGTGAAAGGGAAAGTGTTATGCAGTATTGAGGTCAGCTGCAATAACTGTGAAATTGGATGTGGGATTTGCAGCTCTGTAATGCTGGCTCAGATTCTGTACTGTATGAAGTATGATACATCTGTATCACATAGAAATATTCACATTTAGAAAGCAAATAGAGTACTATCAGGTTATAGTTGGTAAAATACTGCTTGAAAGTCAAGGTGGTTACGCATTTTTCCATAAAAGACTGGAAGAGTACTGTAATGAAATGTGATCAGCAACAGAAATCAGAGCACCGACACTGTAAAACTGTGCAGGAGATGCCTGTATGTACTCTGTTCTGTCATTCTGGTAGGAAGTGAGGTCTTCCTTTCCCTTCTATGCTTTTTTAAACACAGAATTCTGAGTTGAGAAAAAAGGTATAACACTTAAAATCCAAATAGCTTGGTTCCTACCAGTGAAACAGTCTAAATATTTTTATATATTCATAAGTATTCCCACTAAGTTAAAAATTACTGTCTTAAACTTAAGCATGTGGATTAGTTTTCTGTAAAATAGGCTGATGACTGTGATATACAATGCACAAAGAAGAATAATTTTAAATAGGAAGAATGCCTGTAATTCATTTAAATTTAATCTAAAATTGTTTCATCAAGGATAATAAAGGTATTTTTTCTTTGTGGTGCTCTTCCGCATAACTATTGGTACTTGTGTTTGGTTTTACTGTGGTACAAAGTGTGGCCCATTCAAAATCTATTGCTTTTTATGCAAGCTAAAATTAGTATTATTAATTATTGCTATAAAACTTTGAAATTTGTCTGCTATTGGTAGAAGGAAAATGTGTGCTGGTGGATCTAGTGCTATAGAATTGACTTCTCAAGTCAATGTGGTATTAGAATAGCTGTATTTCTAACAGAGTTTTTGTAAATGTTAGTACAAGGTCTGACAGTATCCAAAGTTTTTATCCGTGGCCTGGAAATTTATACATCAGTAGGAAGGAAGATGAGTTGACACAGAACAGTGAAATTGAACTAGCTGTTCTGCGTTAGTTTTTAATTACTTAGTTTTCTCCAGTAAATGTACTAATTCAGGACTCAGAAAATAAGATTTGTTTAAAAAATATTTACAAAGCTGCTTAATAGTTTGACATGACTTCTGACTGATTTCTCTGGGCTAGAAAAAGAACTTGATAACTCAGCCTTAGCCTGGAGGAAGTCCTCTCGGTGACTGGGAAGGAGATTTGTTTTGGCTTTGCTTTTAACAAAGAAAGAATCAAAATAATTAGTTATAATTATTTAAATATACTGTATTATTATTAAAATAGGCTATAATAATTATTTTAATAACTTAATTCCCCCTAAACAAAAAGATATTTTACTCGAGTAATTTATTTAAAACATTCAGGAGGTCAGGTCATGATAAACTCTTAATCTTTGACTTTTGAGTATTTCAAGACCTTTCTAGACATGTAGTTGGCAGTAAGATTGGCATTAAGCATCTGTCCTCTCTAATACTTCTGCAAAATGCTCTCTGACTAAACTCTAAAGGAATACTAATGCTTCTCTGGAATAATATGAAATCATCCATTTGATAAGAAGATTGAATATAAAAAATGTCACCTCCTAAATACACTGCAACTTTGCTTCAAAAATAAACTAGTATTTTATATTTTTTTAATATTTAAAACAACTTTATAAAGTGCATTTTGTTGCTTGCTGCGTGTTCTGAAACTGGTAGCTTGGTTTCATCTCCTAATACTGAGTGTACAAGCACTTGCCTTACCTCTTCTTCAGAGATCTCTACTGTACCAATGGATCTGGCAGAGCCCTCATGGATTATACATACAACTTCTGCCAGATGAATTTTTTTGTTCTTACACCTAAAATTCAATGTGTGGATACCTTGACTAAAAAATTACAGTAAATACAGTAAAAAATAACAGTAAATTTTCAGAAAAACTTGCATCTCAAATTTATTCTGATTGGGTGGTTTTTCTTCTGGAAACTAGAAAAGAAAATATGTATATTCCTGGATTTACTCTGAAAAGGATTGGGAGTGCTAAAATAAAAATGGCTGTGGCTTTAAGGAAAACAAAGCGCATAGATTTTGTTCTATTTTATTGTTTTACAAATTCCGGTAGAGGGAACTTTTATGATTTGCTTGTGTTTTCTTACCAAAAGATACTTGAGGGGCAGAGGGGAAAAAAAGAGAAATTATGGCAAGGCCTGATATAATACACTCAGTATTTGCCATGGTTCTTCAAACATCATTCTTTCCCTTCAGGCATTAGCTAATACTAAGCCACTGCTTCCAGGTGTTATTTCACTACCATGCTGTACTGCCATTCATATTCAGTGTGTGTTTATTGTTCCATTATATTAGCACATTCTGACACAAAAGATGCTGAGTGAGTGTGTGAGTTTTTCAGATGGTAGCTGAGTGTGTTGCATTTCTTTTAAAAAACATTAGAATACTGCTATTCTTTGAGTGTCTGGGAAATTGGGATTATGTTTAAACAGTTTTTTATTTCTTCATTCCAAAACTTTGCCTGACTTCCCTTGCTTCCAGTCTTTCTATTATTTCACTGCGTGTGGATGGCAAGTCTCGGCAGAGCTGTTTTCTCCAGTCAGAGTACACCTACTTTAACGGTTAGGTGCACAGCAGCAGGAATGAGACGTGTGAGGCAGGGATGATGTGGGCAATAGATGTGAGCTGTCAGCATCCCCCTGCACTCCACGGGTGATAGCTGTCCGTACACCTGGAGTTATGATAGGCTTATCTTGTGCATCTAGGTCAAGTTCGGTGTCCTCCCTCCTCTCCTCTCCCTTCTCCCTCTTGCTCTCATAGCGCTTCTTACAAATGGATTAGAGATTATGTGGCTTTTTTCCCAGTATTGTTTTTATGTACTGCATTATTGGGTGGTAAAGAAGTAGTTGTATACATATAGATAAAATCACAAAAATTATTTTGTTATAGCAAAATAACATGTAATATAGAACGTCTGCTACAATCTTATTCATATTTCTCTAAATACTTAGTTTTGTGGTTTGCATTGGTTTAGGTTTTGTTGTTTCTGTCAGCTCCTTCAGAAAACTGCTGCAGCTTTTAAAGGTTTTCTGCTATATATGTGCTCCCATTGGGGCCTTCAGATTTTTTGCTTGGAAGACTTTTTTGTTTGCTAAACTGCTTTTGTGTTAAAATCATCTCTTATCCAACTTTCTCCTGTCAAAACTGTATTGTCTGTAAAGTTTATATTTTACAGCTTTGGTATGTTCTGCTTATCTAATATAATGAAAATACTTTCTGGCTTTTAGTTTTGATAAAACTTCCTTGTTGGCTTTGGGTATTGAAGGTTTATTCACACTTTAAAGCTCCCATTCTAAAATATTGTGACTAAGTATTTTTTAATAATCTAATAACTTGAAAGCTTTTCTATAGTAGTCTTTCTGTAAAATGACACTACCAAAATTTTAGCTTTTCATTTTCTTAAATACATTTTCTACGAGCACTGCTTGTTCAAAACTGCTATACTTACTCTGCTCTTAAAGAACGGGTGAGCATTAAAGTACTTGGGACTGAAGGAACATATCAATATAACAAATTTCCATCTACTTATAGCAAATAGACTATCAAAAAAGGAAAATTTACAATAAAAGATTGAAATTTTGAATCATGTATAGATTAAAGATAAATTTTAGCTGAAAACTAAAATTTTGCTATTCTGTTAATTTGCAATTCTTAGCATTCCAGATTAGAGCAAAACTGTAGAAGATCTCTTTAATGCGTAATTAGGAAATAATTTGCCCAGGCGGAATTTTGTTAAAATTCAAACTGGTCTGAAGCAGACTTTGAAAAATATTTTTTCTTTTTTTCACAATACATTTGTTGCTGTTATTTTTTGGTTGTGTTATTTATTTTTATGTTGGTGTCTCTTACACATTTATGTTTTGCCTTGGGGTATTTTTGTAATCTTTTAAAGAGAAATTGTTATTTTCATAGTAGCAGAACTAACATCAAGTTGTTCCAAATTTAATTATATCTGGGTATTTTTTAATCACATCCATAACCAGGCATCAAAATGAGAGCCTGTAAATTAAATCCACGCTAGAAGTCTATTTGCCTTTCCTTGTTAGACAGTGTAACTCAATTAAGACTTGAATAATGGTTAAAGCAAGCTTTGCTTTATTTGCTACTATCCTTACACAATTGAGAGAGGATGCAAGGCTTCCTGTTCCAGGACAGCATAAATAATTTTATAAAGGGCATATAATTAAGTGATGTAAAATACACACTTAAAATAATTTGTAGTATCTAACTACATTTACGGTTTGCTACATCTTTGATGGGGGGAGCTTTAGCGTGAACAAGCTTCTGGGAAGATGTCATCTTTGGACTTTAATTGAAATTTCTCAGAGGGGATTGAATTACTTGAATCTATTCTGTTGTGTCCTGCCTTTTCCCAAGTTCTTATAGTTATTCTGCATGTATTAAATTAATTTGCATTAAATCTATAGGGATGCTTCATTTGGGAACTGCACGTACAATCTTACGATCTTGGACTGTTTACAGGGAATAAATAAGGTAATAACACTTTTCCTTAGCAAAACAGATTTAAATTGACTTTTAAAATGTGAAGTAAAATACTGTGAAAATACACTAGAAAATCTGATTTCAAAGCAAAATGCGTGAATTGAGTAGTACCCTGTCATGAAGCCTAAGGTGCTGAGGACTGTGTTTGAGTAGTGACAATGGCAGAAGGTTACACTTCTGCCTGACTGGCCTGGCCTGTGACAGCTTCCTGAGCTTCACCTTAGGAACTGGAATCTGCAAATGCACCAGGGCTGCCCGAGAGTCCTTCTTCACAGTGGAAGGCAGCACACTAGGGCTGCTAATAGATCATTTATAACCCCTGGTAAAAGGGAATAACGTAGGTTGATAAAGCCAAGTGAGACAGACACCTAGGTGTACTGTGATTTCTTCTGAGCAGTTTTTGCATGTACTTCACCCCACCATTCCCTCAACACGCTTGGTTCAGTGTTTGACACTAGTCTTTTTAGAATTGTTTAAAAAGAATGAAACCTAATGTTACTAGTGTTTTGATGTGTCACTTTGAACAGTCCTGGTCCTGGGCAGTATTAAGCTCCAATATTGCTTTTTAAAAAAATGTTACATTGCATCTTAATTGGCAACTTTTAGTTACAGTGTATACTGTTATACATATAACTTACTGTTATAGTGTATATTTCATACTATAAACAAAGATTAAATTTTGTTCATCGTTTCCTGATGATCTTGATGAATGCAGCAAGCCATATGAACAGTTCTGTACATGCAGTTTATAGACTATTTGTAATTTTTGAAAGTATGGCAAAACAAATGTTTCTTAAAAATTAAAAAAAGAGAGAACAAGCTTAATATTTTTAGTTCTGTGGGGGTGGGAAAGGAGCTGTCAGTTAACAGCAAGACTCTAATTTGTGTGGCATTCTATGGATCCTGAAGCTCTGTGAAGCAGTTGGTGCAGTCACTGTAATTTATCTGCAACAAACATGTCAAAAGGACTTTGAGAATCAGTTTGTTTGTTCTCCTTTGTTCCCATAAAATTTATTACTGAATTTTTTCCAGTTCACCTACAGAGGTAAAAATACTTTGAAAAGAAAACATATGCCTTAATCTAAAGTAAAATCTTAGTCTGCCTGGGTAAATCTGGTGTTTGTGTGCCCATATATATCATATACGTGTAATCTGGGGGAGTCCTACAAATTCTAGAGCACAGCCAGCCAGCCGTGTTTAAATGAAATGCATTTTTCAAAATCAGCTGTTCAGACAAACCTCTCTGTATCTTAGGTTCCATGACAGATCCAATCATTGAGCCTGTGTTGTCTATAACAAAGCTATTTTTGTTTTGTCTTAAAAAGGGTGCTCTATATGTAGCAAATAATGGCAGACTGATGATGATTATTTTTTAAATCATAGATCTGTGGTGTGTTTTTTTTATCACACCTTGATCCCAGAATGTTGTGTAATATCTGTACTTCTCAGAATGCCGTAGATTCAGTATGAATGTGTGCTGCAAAACTGTCTTCTACTTACTCCTGGAGGAAATTTGGGCTATGAATTCCCTATTAATAGACTTTATTTCATACAGTAGTATACACAAACAGTACAAAATTAACATATTTTATAATAGTACAGTAATCAAATACAAAACTTCATGTCTTTGTCCTGTAACAAATACTGTTTAATGTAGTCCAGTGAACTTCATTCGATCAGTGGACTGTGTATTAAAAGCAAATAAAAAATACAGATTATACACAGTACTGTATTCTGTATATGCCATTTTCCCTGAGTATTATGGTGATAAAATCACATCACATCGTATCGTATTAAGTATAGAAAATCAATAAACTCTTAATAGTCTATATTTTATGTCCAACTGCATGAAAATGTGTTCAGCATAGAAATAATTGAATGACTGTATGACAAAAAGGGAATTGCTTTTTAATTTGTCATCTGCCTTAAAGAAAAAAAATATACTTAATGGTATGGGGGCGAATCAGTTTTATGATTTAAGTGATATGCAACAACCGTATGTCCCATCGTAATGTCTTTGAATGGGAAATAATGAAACTGACATGCTTTAGTGACATTGTTGGAGTTTTTGTTGTCTGTCTTGTTAACCTGTGCAAAATGTAATGTTGTCTTAACATAGAGGCTTCAATAAGCCAAAAGCATATTTAGTGGCTTAGTTTTAATTCTCAAAAACAGTGTTATAAAATGATATTAAATATCATATTTCAGAATAAACTGACACCTTATTGCCTTTTAGGCCTTGCAGCATGGATTTTTTGACTTTAAGACATTTGATGTGGATGAATATGAACACTATGAGGTTTGTACATTTAATAATGAGTTGAATGTGTTTGGTTTACCTAAAATAAGTTAGAGTATACAGTATCCCACAACTTAAAACATATTGGAAACACATTTTGATTCAAGTAAAACCCCAGTGTTCATATGTAAGTTATGTACATCCAGAGACTAGTATACTCATGTGAAAAACATGCAGGATGAATATCCTTGCAATTTCAGTGCATCACATAAAAAGTCTACTGTTTTCTCATAGCCTTTCTGGCTTCTGTGACCTCTTTCATGCTTTCCCAACCTTCCCCCAGGACATGATCCAAGGTCTCTCAGCTGACCCACACAATCTGTGTTTTCTTTCAGTGCTTGTTGAGCTACTTCTTGAGATGCTATTAGTCCCAAATACATGATAAACGTTTATAGCCACATAGGTTAAACACATTTTGGGCTTTTTTAGTAAGGATGCATTACGTGGGGATTCCAGTAATGAAAATATGTCCAAAATACTTCCCTAATGAAAGCCTGCAGATGTCATTCATTGTTCTGCCAGTCTTCTTACAACCTAAGAATAGGTACTCTGAATGGCTCTAGATGCCTCTAGGACTTCGTTCTGAAACATATGCACCTTTACGTACTAGTAGTAGACAGTTCAAGCTGTATTACTGCCAAGAACCTTCGAAATATGTCTGTGCTGTACCTGTGAACTGGGCCGCACACAGAGGAAATCACAGGCACAGAACTTTTATATCCATCTGGACCAGAAGAGTTGCATGATCTTTGTCTACCATTTCCCACACCCAGAGGAAGGGAAAGAGCTTTTACTGAAGTCAGTGACAACCACGTAGTTGTATTGGACCTTGCCCTTGGAAATCCTGCAGTTGCAGTTGTTAAGGAGAAAATTATATAAACCAGAGGTGTACTAAACATTTGAATATATATTAAACTCTAAGAAGAGAGTTGTGTTACTTTCTTGAAGCCAATATTCTTTCCCCCAGCCCCTCTATTGCAATTTTCAGAAAACTTGGAAATAATGAGAATAAATTTGTGTAGTCGGAAAATGTCCATTTTAAAATTTATTATCTTAAGTTGAATATTTCTGATTATCAAACAAGTTATAGGGATAATTGCTTTTCTTAAATGTCCATAGCATTTGATAAATACCTGTTTTACAAGCAAGATGATATGGGTGACAGTATATATCTGAAATGCATACAGCTATAGGAAATGCTTCACAAATGTTCAAGGAAGAGGGCAAAGTCAGGGGAGGAGTAAACAGTGGAAAAACTTTATCTACAACACAAATCTATACAGTAGATGTTGGCTGCAATAGGCACACTATAACATATAGCTATTCACAAAATTAAAAGCATTTCTGTATACCATTATGTTCTATAATGATCAGATTGAGAAATTCGTGTTAGCCTTTGCTGAATTACCAAAATTAAATTAACTGTATCTAAAATTTAAAGTATGATTTTTTTTTTTTTTGCTTACTCTATGTACAAAAGTTAAATGTTTACTTAAAAAAAAAAAAAGGCTGAGAATTCTTAGGAATCTCTATATATAATAGGCGTTAATCTGCCTGAAAAAAGTATTAAAATAATTGTCTAAAGCTATCCCATTATCTTGTTTAATGCTTAACATTATTTTAGTTTGTGAAAAGTATGTATGTGTGAATGGATATGCAAAGTATGCTGCCCACTGTCTGAGTTTGAGAAGCAAGAACTTGGAGTCATCTTTGACTTTTTGTCCATTTTTTGGTATGTCTTCTATTATTTTATGCACAGTCAGCTTTGTATGTTTCAATATGTCCTGTGGTATATTTCTAAAACTTTAAATGTTCCAAGTTTTTGCTATGTTATGTCTTCAAATGTGCAGTTATGTGGAGAAAAGTTGCATAAGACTTAAAGGGGGCAGGCTAAAGGAAATTCTATTTCGCATTAATAGTTCTTTCATCTTAATATATTATCAAGGCAGCTAATTCCCCTTTTGTTGGACTAGATGTAAAATACTCAAGTTCTTTCTTTTTTTAAATATTAATGTTGTTTGCATGTAATGTCGAGTATATACACATACATGCCTATATATCTGTAGTTCACATTGGTTAAAATTTATTCACAATAACCCATGTAACTATAAAGAACTAGTTAATTCACAAATAACTGATAATACAAATACAAAAATACTTTTTTTTTAACATCATCTTTAAAGGGGCTAGAGGTACTACAATGTTGAGATTGCAGTCTGTCATACAAATCGGGGAGGGGGGGCAAGGTTGCTGACTTGACGGCGAGATTGGTTCGCTGGTCCTTATGCAACCTTGTTAGCTTGCGGAGTTTTCACTGTGTGAGGACATTTGGAGCAAGCCTAATGGGCTTAGCTAAGCAAACAGTTGGTGAATTGATTACAGTAGCATCTATTATCAGAATCTTTCACTCATTAGGATGTTTTGATTTGCTGAGAGCTAAAAACACAAGCTTAATAATGTGGTTGAACTGAGTGCTGTGTCCTTAAAAGTCATGCTGAGAATAGCTGCATTGCCAAGTGAAGAATGAGCACTCTTTAATTAAAAAAAAAAAAAGGCAGTTTTGAACTTTAGCCGTGTATTTCCAAAGAAGCTTCCAGTTTTGGCACTGACAAAATTTGAAGAGCCTTTCAGAAGTTTTCATTTAAAAGTGAGCAAGGAATGCAAAATGTCACCGTTTGAAAGTTGCTTTTTTTTTCATTTAGTCTTTTTATTTTATTTATACTTCGCTTCTGTGGTTACTGGCTCATCAGAGTTTATGCCAATATGTAAATTTCGGTTTCTACAGGGAAAGGATAATTGTTTTTGAAGGATAATTGGTTTTTAATTTGTTTTCTGTGAATTGGGTTTTTTAGCCAGTGCCTTACAGGGAAGTATTTTTCCATATCCTTTGATTAAAATATACAAGAATGTTGATGTTTTTCCGTGTTGTTATAAGTAGGTATCTTAAAACTTAAAATTAAGAGATATCTGAGAAGATGCTTATGGTTGGTTAGTCTCACATAGGTAAGGTAGCTAATTACATTTGAAGTGTTTCATTTTAATGCAACAAGAACATAGTAAAAAGTAAAATAAAATCTTGAGTAATTTTTTAACCTTGTATGTACAGTCATAAAATGCTTTTCTCTTTCTCTTGTGAAATTTTTATAGCGAGTGGAAAATGGTGACTTCAACTGGATTATTCCAGGAAAATTTTTGGCCTTTAGTGGACCACATCCAAAAAGCAAACTTGAAAATGGTATGGTGTATATTTTAATGCTATTCTATGATCTTACTTTTTTTCCAGCATGTTAAACAGTCATGGCAAATGAGAAAAAGATAATAGAGGTTTATAGATTAATTTTCATCTTCAGAAATAACCATACAGTGAACATATATGCGATCATAGAACTTCATTCCAAAGGTTTTGGAATTATTCTTTGCTAGAAGAATTCTAATTTTTCTAACAGTCAGTGACTTCCAGTGACAAAGTGCCTGAAAAATTCAGGTCCCTTACTTTTCTCCTGGAACCTGACACTTGATATAATAAGTATACAGAATTGAAGGTGAGTTGCTTAAAGCAAAGGAGATTGTTTTAAGAGTTTTGTAACAAAGTCCAGGAAAGGCTTTAAAAATAAGCTTGCTTTTACTACTGAAGATTCTAATGTGATATTAAAAAAAAAAAAAAGAGAAACTTGACTGGAAAGAGGGAAAGTAGAGATTACATCCAGCTAAAGGAAAATCAGTCATGTAAAAAATACAATCAGATTTTTGCCGATTTTCACCTTATTCTTTCTGCCATGTCATCTTTGTTAATGTGAGCATGGGTTTTGTGTTTTATTTTTTGGGTTCTTCTGCTGAGACACTTCTGCTGTCTCATGTTTCGTTTATGACTGGAATGCTGCTAATTGCATAGTGTCCGCTGAAGACTTAAACAAAATCCAGGGAGAAAACATTTAGGTTGGTTTGCATTTCTTCCCAATCCCTGTTACAGTCCCTTCTTGCAGATTTTTTTTCAAAAATTGTTTAAATTACTCCATGGAATTTTGAAAACCTGTGTTCTATTTTCAACATGTATACAACTGAAAATTACTAAATTAACACTAGCACTTAAAATCCGGTTATGAGGTTACAAATAAGCCTCACATAGTTGAGTGTAAGTATACATTACAAAGCTACCTTTTTCTCATTATATTGTGACTTTAATTGCATTTACTAATGCATATACAACTTGTAGAAATGATTTGTGTTTTGTAAGGAAGCTTTTGGGCTTTATTTGAACAAGAATAAAAATTCTGGAGATAAACCAGTGAATTTGGTTAATGATGGACCTTCTGATTTTTGTGGTAGCCACGTTGTTCCTGTGTTTTGTTTGTAAGACTTAATTGTTAATGGAAAAGAATAAACTACATCTTAGGTACATATATCCTACAGGACGTGTGTGTGTGCACACACTCCCTCACCTTCTCATCAAGAGGGAACATTTATTTGGTTAAAGTGTCCTAAATGGTTATGACCCTCCCTCCCTGCTCCCTCCTGGTCTTTATCTAGAGGATCGTTTTGTCTCTCGACTGAATCAAGGCACTAAAGTTTTTTACTTCACAGTGGAGCAAGAATACTTCTGGCACTCTAGTTTATACATTGACTGTTCCTCTTGTTCATAGTATAGACCACCAATCTATTTTCCTCATAAACATAGTGTTTTCTCTTAAAGCATAGAGTCATAGAATTGTCTAGGTTGGAAGGGACCTTTAAGATCATCTGGTCCAACTATCAACCTAAAAAACCATCACTAAACTATGTCACTAACCGCTATGTGGTTTAAATGCCTCCAGGGCTGGTGCCTCAACCACTTCCCTGGGCAGCCCATTCCAATGCTTAATAATCCTTTCAGTGTAAAAAATTTTTCCTGATATCCAATCTGAATCTCCCCTGGCACAACTTGATGCCATTTCCTCTTGTCCATCACCTGTGACTTGGGAGAAGAGACCAACCCCCACTTCTCTACAACCTCTTTTCAGGTAGTTGTAGAGAGTGATAAAGTCTCCCCTCAGCCTTCTCTTCTCCAGGCTGAACAACCCCAGCTCCCTCAGCCTCTCCTCATAAGACTTATTCTCCAGACCCCTCACCAGCTTTGATGCCCTTCTCTGGACCCGCTCCAGCACCTCAATGTCTTTTTTGTGGTAAGGGACACAAAACTGGACACGGTACTCGAGGAGGGGCCTCACCAGTGCTGAGTACAGCAGGATGATCACATCCCATGTCCTACTCGCCACGCTGTTCCTGATACAGGCCAGGATGCTCTTGGCCACCTGGGCACACTGCTGGCCCATGTTCAGCTGACAGTCAACCAACACCCCCAGGTCCTTTTCTGCCAGGCAGCTCTCCAGCCACTCTGCCCCCAGCCTGTAGCGCTGCAGGGGGTTGTTGTGACCCAAGTGCAGGACCTGGCACTTGGCCTTGTTGAACTGCATACAATTGGCCTTGGCCCATCAATCCAGCCTGTCCAGAACAATAAGTATGTTCTTATTCTTTGATCTGCAGCTTGACTGTAGACAATCAGCTGTTCTGAAATGCCAAATTCATATATGTGTGTAGCTTTATGTATAAAACCCTACTTGTAGAGAGGAATGGGCTAAACAGGAGACAGCATTTCGTATATACTGTGCTCTGTTTCTTTTTTTCTGATCCTTTTTTTAATTATAGTGGTCTTCATGACCTTTTTTGTGGACAGTTCTTTTGTATCACTTAACATGTTTATTCTGAATAAAATATTGAAGCGTTTTCAGTATTGGCATGTTTAACTTTGGCTGCAATTTTTATTAGTAGGACTTTGAACTTCATATATGACATTAAATGATTATTGCTTTATTGTTTTTTTTATAGGTTATCCTCTTCATGCACCTGAAGCCTACTTCCCCTATTTCAAGAAACACAATGTCACATCAATCATAAGACTAAACAAAAAAATTTATGAGGCAAAACGCTTTACCGATGCTGGTTTTGAGCATTATGACCTGTTCTTCGTAGATGGAAGCACACCAAGCGACAGTATCGTTCAGAGGTTCCTGAACATCTGTGAAAACGCTGCTGGTGCTGTTGCTGTACATTGCAAAGGTATGTGCACTTAAAAATTGATTTCTCAGATTGGAGTTCAAAATAAGTATAGATCCATAAAAGTTATTCCATAAATCATTTTAAAAAATAGCACTTTTTGGTTGTGAAAGTAATATTGCTTTATGATACTTGACTAAATATTTGACAAATATTTGTTTTCATGTGCATATTCTTTCATCCTACACTACTACTTACAGTAACTGACAATCTGTGTTCATTGTTCTGTTTTTTCTTAATATCACTTGAAGGCGTGAATTTTAGTTGATGGAGATTTCTCTTTTGAACTATGCTTTCACAGCATTATGATAATTGGCTAGGAAATGCTAAAGACTGAAAGGTTTACTTTGTGCTTTTGGACTGTTCTACATTTTTCTGTGGAGCATGAATTCCACATTTCAAGTTAATGTGAGTTATTGTGATGCCAGCATTTCAAACCAGCCTATTTCAGCAAATCAGCCAGAAAATACACAAAACATGCTTAGTCTAGAATGATTAACAAAGATTTTGAAGGGTACGGCTTGATTTATGTTTAGAGTTGTGTTAAGGACATTGTGGAGACGAATGTCTTGCTGATCTGCAACAAGAATACTGCTATTCATTCATAATTTTTCCATGAACAATAAACGTGCATATCAAAGATAAATAAATTTATTTGCTAGCAAGTTGTTACTGTGGCTAGAACCCAGAAATTCTGGCAATAATAAGCTGGACGTCTGCTAATCGACTAAATGAGGGTATAAATTACTGATCAGCAGGAGTAGATCGTTATTCTTCAGGCTTAGTTGCTAAAGGAATGCAATATATTTTTCTAGTGATTCATCTGACCATTTAACAAGCAAACCAATAATCTCAGTTTCAGGTTTTTTACACCCTTCTATACAAAGTTAAATCAGTTGTTAACTCAGAGTTACCATCTGTACAGTACTATCTGTAGTTTTCTTGTACTCTTATTACAGAAGTATTCCAAGCACAGCTTCCACACTAGAAATTGCTTGTCCCAGAGGTTATAGAATGGTTTAATGCAAAGGGTTGCTATGAGAAGCTTGTACATTAGCAGGAACTTAGAGAATAGAACTGAAGTCTTAGTGATATATGCAGCTGGTAGATGTTACCTGCAATTTTCAGAGACCATTTTCTTATCCAGATGTGTGTTTAGTATAGTACAGCTCTTGGTTATCTATTTGCATGTTGCATTCCTTTAATGTTTAAAAAAAAACCCACACCAAACCCAAACTCTCTCTCTAACAATACTTCCCCTTTTTAAATGATTCTTTAGGGCTAGTCTTCCAGTATACAGTTATGGAATCTCACTATTTGTGAACTTTTGCCTTCATTCTTTTACCTGAATCACCTTAACTTTCTAAAAAGTCATAGCATGATTTAGTTACTGGTTAAATTTTAAGAGCTTGTAATTGTGAACAGAGTTGTCAGCAAGGATACATGGCTGCTTAGAGAGTTTCCCTTTAGAGAGCATAACATATGGTGCATAAACAATAACTGGCCACCATGAGACTGAATTACAAATGTTGTATTTGTGTGAAAATAAGGTTTAAGTGGAGAGACTTTACTAGTAGATAAGAAAGAGATTAATTCTTCCTCTGTAGTCAGAGGTATGTCTGATAGTAGGTGTTATTTTATCTGTCTCTCTACTCTCCCTTTAAAACCAGGAAGAGTTTGTGATTTGGGGGGCAATGAGTTAAATTATTTTAAGCTATTGATATATAAAATTATATGCTGGTCAATATTCATTGTTGTTTATACAGATAGCAGTGAAAAATTTTATAGGTTTGCTTCACAACTAAACTGATTCAAAAAGAAAAAGCCACTGGCTGATAAGAAACATCCTGCTGTGGTGTGCACATGTATTTGCACGTATTTGAACCTTGATTTTTAAGTTATATGTATTTGCCTCTCAAAAGTACTTTGATTTTGTTTTGTACTGGTTTCATAAATATGAAGTTTGTATCCAGTTTGGTCATGGCTCTTTTCTAAAATTTTGGGCTTTTTTTTAAAAAAAGAAAAAGTTTGAAGTAGAATTGCTTAAGTGGCAAGACTGATCACTATTGCATGCATTCTTAAGCGCTGTTCACTTTTAATAAGTGTGATATATTTGTTATATATACGTTTGCTGCTTATATCTACAGCATTGAAATCCAGTTATATGATAAATTGGATACTGGATCAGAAATTCTTTCTTTAATGGGTCATGAATAAGATTGCAGGAAAAGTCTTCTCATATCCCATACTGTGATAATTATGAAATGCTCATGACTTCCTATATGAATGTTGATATTTTTGTTTCTGTAGCTGGCCTGGGGAGAACAGGAACGTTAATTGCCTGTTACATAATGAAACACTACAAGTTCACACATTCTGAAGCCATTGCTTGGATAAGAATATGTCGACCAGGCTCTATTATAGGACCCCAGCAACACTTCTTGGAAGAGTATGTATACCTCCTTTGCTGCTAAGAATCAACTGCTTCTCTACATCCTTATCCACCTTGCGCTATTTATAGATTCTACTTTCTGTCTACTGACATCATATGTTACTGCCTGTTGCAATATATTTAAGGTTAGTTAATTTGGAATTGAAATCAAACCTAGTAGCAATCGTCTTCCCTGGGATGCTGTGCATTTTGTCACATTAAGGGGCAGATGGTCTCAAGACTCTGCTGCATATTTGTGTTCTGGGGCATTTAGGAATTAGATCAATGTGTTGGAAGTCCAGATGTGGACAAAAGATTAAATCAACAGTAAAGATTTATTAAAATATTAACATAGCAAGGATAGAATTTATATACAGTCTATGATGACAGTTAAAATGAATCTTAAAGTAGTATAATTCATATGTTATTTTCTTTCTTGTAACTAAAGATTAACTAAGTACGTGGTGGACAACCTATGATCTCTGTCAGATTCCTAGCATAATGTAAGAAGCGTTTCTGATTTGGAGCTAATAGTCATTAGCAGACCAAATGCATAGGTTTAATACAGCTCCTTCTTAAAACTGACTGTATACTTTGGGTTGAGAACATTTGATGTACAGATAATTTGAATGGATGATTCAAGCTTTGATCCTCACTGGAAACGAATGACAAAATTGCACTGGCTTCAGTGATGTAGATGTTAAGTTTAATTTCATAGTGGTATCTACATTGTGCATTTACTGTTATAGTGGTTTTGCTGATATTTTTGAGTTGATACCATTATCTATTATATTTAGTTGGAGGCGTTTTCACTGTCATAAGAAAAAGCATTTTGAGAAAATCCACCACAAATTTATCTCTTGTTGGAAAAAAAGAGAATGCAACAGTTCTGCTAGATACTGTGTAAATACAGTAAGACATGCACTGACCTTGCATCTTGAAATCCATAGGATATTGGAGAGAAAGAAGGAATGTTACTGTAATTCATAAGAGAAAGCATGATTGAGGATTCCTATTTATTTCCCAGTACAACTGAATGGACACTGCTTTATTTAGGAGGTGCCTGCCATTATTCAAAACACTGTGAATCACAAACTTTCATAAACCACAAGTGCTCAGTGAAGGCAGATTAAACTTCTCCACACCATGCTGATGCTTGGATGATGCACTCTTAAAAATAACTTCCACAATAGAGCAAAATCAAGAGAGAAAGGAAGTAGGTAGTGTGATTAGACTTGAAAGATAGGAAAAACAGAGCCCATGTCTTTCCTGCAGTGGCATATAAGTACTTGGTTTGATTTTATAGATAGGCAAAGATCCTTCAGATTTTTTTCATTCATAGCTAAGAGCTGTAGTATTGTTCAATAAGAATATTCTGTTGTCCTAATGGCAATAGATACTTGTTTTGACAATCGGACAAAATTCAAGCAATGTCACCTGTAGTGTCAAAAAGGGATTGAGAAAGAAGTAGCTAACATCAGTTGCATCATTCTAATATAAAATATGTTGCCCTCAGGGCTGCAAAGTTACATCTGACAAAAAGGTAAAATCTTGCAGCTTTGATCTCCCGACCTTCATAGATGTAAGAGCTTCATCTCTTACATTCTTTGAAGTTTAATAAGGGAAGTTTGAATATTTATTTTTTTTCTAGAGACCCACCCAAGTATGTATAAAATCAGTTTGTTACTCTGAATGCAATTAATCTTGAAAGATTTCAAAGCAATTTAAATTCAAGGTATTTTCTAGGCTACTTCTGATAGGTGGCATAAGCAGCACTCACTCTCTGCCCGCTCCCTCCTTCTTGTGATGTTTTTTTGGGACATAGTGAAGTTTTTCTGGCAGTGTTTACCTTTCCCATTTTATATTGAGCGAGTTTAGGCAGTTGGCTGAGACTAATTGTCTCTTAAGCTTTGCTGTAATATTTTCCTTTCAAACAAAGAAAAGTTTCCAGTGAAAGTATATTCTGATTTAATTCCTCATTCTTTTTTTTTTCTCTGTTCAGTATAGAAATTTGTTTTGTTACAGTAACGTGTAATAGGATCTCAGTTCTTTGTTTGAACTAGCATGACAGGTACCTACCCAGCAAACTGTTATCAAGGAATAATGTAGTCTCATCAACAAAAGCCTGCTTAGCCCATGTGCATTGTAGCAATTAATTTTTTTTTTTTTTTACCATCTGTCTGAAGGATTTAATCTTTCATTCTCTGAAAATTGATACTAGAGTCCTGTTCAACTTTACATGACTATGACCATTTCCAATGTGCAGGTCAGCTGTATTTTTAGTACACAATATCTGTATACACAAAACTGATGCTAATAAGAAGTTAGAAAGTACTTTATCATCATCTGTTCTACACTTCACATATGTAAAAGCATTTTTTATATGAATTTTTAAGTTGTGCTTTAAAAGCCTTTGAAATACCATTGCAAATTTCTGTTTAGATAATATTTTTTCCCCAGTAGGATTTTGTAAAATGAAGTTTTAGTACCTGTAGTATTTCTGTGGTGGCTACAGACTTGTTTGGTGATTCTGGGTTTTTTTGTTGTTGTTTTTAACCATTGAAACTGATGGGTTTTTTTGGTTGGGGCTTTATTTTTTTGGTGATAGAGATTCAAATTTATTTTTCTAGATGAAGATGTACAAAAGATTCAAATGTTGGTAATTTGTAAGAGTAGCATGCTTTCATATTGTTTTTTATGTGTATGTAAATTTGTTGATACGAACTGATTTTGTTTTGTATCCTGAAGGAAGCAAGCAATGTTATGGCTGGAGGGAGATCTCACCCGACCAAAGCAGAAACGAGGAGCAGTTGATGGAAACATTAACAGAGTTCTTTGTGGGTTGAATGACATTTCAATCAGTGACAGCTTGAATAAAGTACAAGACTTGGATCAATACAGAGAGGTAAGTGTTTGCAGGAAAATTTTCAAACAAGCAGAGATGGAGCTGACCTTTTAATAACAAGCTACAGATAATTCTTAGGGTATTTTTTAACCTTGTATTGGTATTAAATTGCTTTTTCACAACTAATTTTTTATAGGTCATAATTAGAACCAATCATCACTTCTTAAAACAACAACCAAAAAAGCTTGTTATATTAGAACTGTTATAGGATCATTTTGCAAACTTCAAAATCTTTGCATTATTTCAAGTCATTCTTTCAGGGTTTTGGAGAATGGAGGAAAAGAAATCAGTTTTCCTCCTGAAAATGTATTTATTCCAAGTTTCTAGCTAATAATGCATGAGTGTATAGGTGTCCATTCCTGTTATGGGTTATTGATGTCATGTGGACATTTACGGTAAGGACCTTACAATTGTTTATTGGAAGCACAGGCATAAAGTCTGAGCTAAAGTGACCATACTTCTGCTTTGAGGTTACTAAAAATCTTAAATTGTAGTTTCCTACAGTATCTGTGGGAAACAGTTTAGAGGAACTATGCATTTGATTAGTCCTGTCTTAGCTCTGTAATTTTATCAGCATTGAGGCTGAATGATAGGTAACAATAGCATAGCATATAATCTTCAATCTAGATAATCTAGATAAATCTAACAAAATACTTATATTTTCCTATAATTGGTGCAACACTTAGACCATCGCTAACTTCTATTGTGTTACTACTCCTGTCAATCTTTCATCTTTATTAATGGCAGAAACTATTATTCTGTTTTATGCAGAGTAGTGAGGTCACTTAAACACAGTAGGAACTGCAGTAACACAAACAAATACTTGATCTGAGGTCAAATGAAGCATAATTGGTGTAAGTTTTTTCATTTGGCAATTTAAAAAATAAGTGCAGTTTCTTCTTGCTTTCTGTAACTTTCATATATCTGCTACTTAAGATACTGTCTCTACTTCATACTTGGGTCTCAGAAAAGTCTATTTTAAGATCAGTCAGCAATTATAAGTATGCATTTAAACAATGTTGGCATACACTTTTAGTATTTCTTAGAGTTTATAATATTCTCTAAAGCTAGAAGAAGAAGGATAACACTTTGAAACCTGTTCATCCTATGTTCCTTATTAAGTTCTCATAGGAACATTTTTTTCAAAACTGTATTTTTCGAGAGGTCATGAGAACTTTTTATTAAAAAAAAAGTAGTAATTTAGGAAAGTTGATTTTTAGCTCCTTTTGTGAGACACACAACTGTATCTAAACTTCTTCTTCAACTCATGCATATCACACAATTGTGTGCTACTGCTTCCCTTCCACATTGATAACTTTAAAAGTAGTTATAGAGGGAGGAGTTGAAGTTTAAGTTCTGTAAAAACAGATTACTTTGAAGTAAATAAATACTGGTGTTAGACCCAAGCATCCTGAACTGGCTTTGAGGTCAGATTCTGCAAAAAGCCTCTGTGAAGGTGTATTTGTACAATGACATGTTTAATTTACTGGAACTGTGCAAAGACAGAGTAGTGCCCCATGTATGCAGAAGACTGTAGATTAGCCTTTTAATTATAATCCTTGCGAATGAGATGTTCAACACTTTGAAACTACACTATTCTTAAGAATTTGATACATTTCCTTGCTTGCATAATTTGTGTTTCCCAGAACGATTTTGAAGATGAAGCAGGTGTGGAAACTCAGAATGGCATGACGCAAGGAGATAAGCTTAATGCCTTAAAAAGTCGGAGACGGCTATGTTCTGCTACAACTGGAGCTCTGAGGTAATTAATTAATTAATTCTGCAGTAATTTGCAGTTTGAAATTCAGTCTGTGCTATCAGATCTTTATGGTAAGTACATGACCTTGTTTAAGGCAGTGGAACCAGTTGTACCACCTTCTGTGGTGGAAATTTCTCTAAGTATATGTCTATTAGTTGCAGATTCGGTTTATTAATTTCACATTCTTTTTTTTTTTTTCCTATGTCTCCCTGTTTAGGATGCCTTTTGATTATGTAGCAGTAAAAGACAAAGTAAAAAAATATTTCAAGACCCTCAATTCTGTAGCTAGCTAGCACTTTAAAACTTATATTCAATCAACTTAGTTATTTTTCTATAAACTTTTCTGCACTTATTATATAAATTTTGACTTTTTCAGAACCAGTAAAAATGTGAAGCTTGACAGTAAACCTGAAGTACCCCTCTGTTGTTTAACTGTAAATTAAAATATCATGAAAATATGTAAATTAAAATGTCAATAATTCTTAATTGTTGTTAGTCTTGTGCTTTAAAGCCAGTATGAGACATCAAGTATGCTTTGGGGGAGGGGAAAGGCTTTTTATCCTTTAATAAAGATTGCTGCTTTGGTTTCTTTAGGCTGCAAGACATGAAACTGCACACCAGGTCACTATCACAACCTTTCAGGTATTAACTTTAAAATTATAGTTCTGAATGTATACCACTCAGGTCTTACATTTTCATTGTTTGAATTATAACACCAATTGATTAGCAATTTCAGACTTCTGAAGAACTTTTATACGCACCTGCAAATAGGGGTGGGAAATAAATCTGACAGAGGGGCACAGCTGTACTTCAGGGATACCTTGAATTCTTCTTAATAAATAATTAGCACGTACAAGTCATTTCTTCAGTTACATTTTCTAATATCTGTGCTGTTATGCAGTGAAGGATGACTAGTTAACTCTTATGCAATGAAGGATGACTAGTTAATGCATAACCACTTTATCTCTGTAAAATTAAATACTTGTCTGAAAAGCCTAAATTGCCTATATACTGCCTGCATATCACAGTTTTTATCCTGTGTATTTTAGCAGAGGAACTAGAGGTATTGCTTAGTGGATACAATCTGTACTTTTCTTTTTTTTCAGAAGATATACCAGATAAATACTGAGTTTTAGTACCTTTTCATATTTTAATACAAGATCCTCTGTACACTTTACTGCATGCTTTGTTCAGAACTTTCTGTGGAGCCAATAAGGCCAATAGTTTCTTAATATTTTCGAAATGTTTATTTCATTTCTTATCTGTACTAATCTCAAATCAGTACTGACAATGCCCCCTCAAAAGAAAACAAAAGCATAGCACGAAATTTGACTTAATTTTAAGAGTTATAGGAGTGGCAGAATTGAGTCTTTTAGTTTTGTAACCATAACATCCTTTACCTCATTGCATCTAAAATGCAACATGAAAGACAAAATATCTGTCATCATAAAGTATTAATATTGAAAAGAACATGTTATCTTCAGTTTTGTCACAACCTGGATGTATGAGGTGGATTACTCCAGATGTCTAATCTTGGAGATGCCTGGTTACCTTTTCGTGATGTGAAATTAAAGCTATTTCTGCTCAATGTCATTCCTTCTGTGCCTGTAGCTTGTACCCAACGTCTTTATTCCTTTAAGAGCTGATCAGGATAATATCCCCTGGTCTAAGGATGGAAAGAATTTCATATACTGTGAGGCCATTCACTTATTAGTTTTTAATAAACTAACATTGACAGCTATAATGCTAACATTTTTTGAGTAGTCCAGTGTACCATACTTACAGCTCATTATCAAAACATGAAGAATTTGGTCATTAAGAGTCCCGCCCTAGAAAGAGCCGTATGTTTTGTGCAACTTTAAAAATGTTCTTGCTGTCATTTGGAAACGACGATGATGCTGTCATGAAAGCTACAGTTCTTGGTTTTTTTCTACTCATACTTGCTTTATATGCACAAAAAGAATTTTCTCAAATTTACAATATTTAAAATTTATAATAAAATTTACAATAAATTTGATACAAAGCGGATACTTAGCCTTTACAAATTATCAAAGTGAAAAGTGGCCTCGCAGGGAAAAAACTTGGGAGTGGGATATTTGAAAAGTTTTTTTGAACAGTATTTGAAAACAGGCAAACTGTTGAGCTTCTCAGTACCTAGGCTTGAGAATTCCCACTTTTTAAAAATATGTCAATGTATCAAAAGACTGTATGTGTTTCTGAGATGTATATTTCAATTATGAAAATCTTGCTTCTCACTAAAATTCTTCACTCCTAGACTGAATAATTCAGGTAGCACAGAAGGATCCATGTCTCCTCTGAAGGCCTCCAAAGTGATGGCAGTTAATTCACCATCTGCAGAAAGAATAAGCAGAATTGCTACATCCTCAGGCTCTAACCTTAAAAGGTGTTTTTTTTCTTCTTATTTTGGTACAAATTCTTACTGTATGCTACAATGGTTTTCAACACACATGTAGTCTATGAAGTGATTGCTGTTCTTGGATGTAAGGCTTAAATTTACTTCAAAGCGATTTGCTGTTCCACTAGCCAAACTTTAGTTGCCTGCAGATTTTAAAACCAAATGAAAACCAAACCCTATACTACTGGTATGAGAGTTTTGGTGAGATTATAACAAGTCAGAAACAGTGTTATGTTGCTCAGGTTGTTGGTTTTTTTACTCATCTGAGTTAATGGAAATTTTGCAAGCTTTTCCACAGGTCTATATACTGTTAATCTCAGAAGAATGCTGAGTGCTAATTAATATGGTTTTTATGAACTCTGATTTCTTGCTATTTAATTCCATTATTACTATTGTACTAAGTAATTATGGAAGTTAAATGAAACTTAGAGTAATTTATGTATTCTTAGTAACTTCTGGGCATAAATATTTACTTGAAGAAAATAATTCACTTAAAGAGGTATTTCCAGACACACTATTTTTATTCTCAAATTTTATCATCTTACTTCTTGGTTACTTGAAGTTTTGTATCATGTTACCGATTTCAAGAAACAGAGGAGGAGTTCTTAAACTGTTTTATGTACACAAAGTACTTCAATGTAGATCAGCCACTGCCTAGAGCTTTTAAGACAATCTCCTGCATGTGCATATGGTTTGACAGAGTGAAAGCTGGCCACGGTAGTTCTTGAATAAACAAAGTTTGGAAACTCCTGACAAAAAAATCTAGTTTTCATTATTTGAGAGCTAGAAGATGAACCTGTGGGCAAACACAAATTATTTCAGAATGGTCTTCGTTATTCACCCAATGTCTTCTGAATTGTCTGATATTTTTTGTATATATCTGTACATACCTTGTGTGTATTTTTTTTCCCTGCATGTGTTTTCCATTCAGCGTTTCCATAAACTCCAGACTAGCCAGTTCTCTAGGGAACCTGTATGCTGCTTCAGATGATGATGAGAGCAAAATGACATCATCGTCTTCTAGGACAGGTTTTTCTGTAAGACAGATCTCCAGCCACTTGAATGGCAGCTTGCAGCTGCCTCACAGAAATAACCACGAACTGAACAACAACTTATACAACAGAAACAGCAGTAGTGGCAACAACCTGAGCAGCCAAACCAGTTTTCACAGCGCCGTGACAGATGAGTACGCATCAAACTTCCGTTATGAGCCTTACAACTCCTCCAGCACGATACCAGAGTCAATCAATTCTTGTAAGTTCATAGTGACAACAGCACTTTCAGGCATCTGACCAATGCTTATCTTCCTTGCTTCTGTGAGCAAAGCTGTCGCAAAAACAATCTGAACCCAGCATGATTCTCTGACTTCCTTTAATGTTTCTGAACAGCACCTTTGTCTGTTACTTATTTAGCTGCTTTTTTTTCCCCGTCTCTTTCAAGCATCTAGATCATGGTAGGTTCACGAAAATAAATTACTCCTGAACTTAAAATTAACACCTTTTCTGATATCTTTTTTTAATGGACCTTCTTATCCTTCAGATTTTTTTTAATTTCAAATTATCTGTAACATAGTATTAAGTTTATTATGTATCTTAATCTTCGTGCAGTAACAGATTTAAAGAAGCCTTTGGATGTACTAAATGGAAGGTACAACATTCTTAAAGATATGGCTTATTTGAAAGATGAGTCCACTTGACTTCAAACCTAGTCCTTTTCTAACACCAAATGTGAAAAGTATTTTAGAGCAAGGTGTTTCTGATGGTCTTACCATTTTAGCTTTTATTACTCAGCAACTTTGCTGCCTTGGGTTTTGTGCCCTTTTTCTGTATGAAAGAGTCTGTACAAAGAGGATGCATGGATAAATTAATTTAACTTGAATACACAGATTGCTGAGAAGAGAGACTAGAGAAACTTCAGTTATGAAATCAGAAATAATTTCAACTATTTTAGGGAAAAAAAACCCTACACTTCTACTATAAAAACAAGATTTTATATCCTACTAATTATAAAAATCAGTGCAGTGTTCTTAATAGAATATATTGCCTACTATTAGTTGCAGCTGTCAGCCTCTGTTTAGTAGTACTCACACTTCAGATATTTATTTTTTTAGCTGCTGGAAATAGAATTACTTTTGTGTAAAAAAATTAACTGCAGAACATTACGCCTTTCTCTTCTGTTTCCTTGCCACTGATAAATCATTTCAGTATAAAGAAAGTTTTAGTGTTATAAGTGCTACTGTTTTGGAGTGTGGCGAGTCCCCTGTCTTAAAACAGCAAATACACACATTGCATGTAACGAGGATGTCAGCAGAAAAGATCATTCATGGGTTGTGTTCTCTTTTACCTGAAGAAGCGGGGTGTCTACCCTCTCATTAAGAGCTAGTACGTGACACCACTTACAGTTCAGAAGCCACATGTTTATAGATTGGGAACATGAATTGCACTTTCTTAGGACAGAAGACAGCAGGAAAGAAATTCGTACTGTTCTATTGTGGAATTAAATTGCATATGCGACTGAAACCTTACTAGTACACAAAGTACACTGAAAATGGAGTTAGCTGAAGGATCTTGATTCTGTATTCTCATAAATGCAGTGGATACTTACACTTATACTTACAGCACAAAATAACTGTGCTGGGATGTGCTTGGCCTAAAGCAACTCTTAAAAAATACTTGATGCTTTCAGACTCTTTGTTTGAAAGTACGTTTAGCTTACCCACTACAACCTATCTGGAAGTAAATGTTAATATTCCGTGATTTTAGGATCACTGAGTGTTCTCCATTGACTTTAAATTTGAGTTTAAACTTTACTTTAAACATCAGAAGTAACTTATTTACAAAAGACTTCTTGAATACCGCTACATCCTTTCAGTTTTTTTGAAGTTTTACCTCTTAAATTTGGCTGTGTGTTTACCTGCTGCAGGGGATCGAGGTAAACTATATATAAGGGAGATTTTTTCCTGAGTTGCATATAGAAACCATCCCAGTTTTTTTATGATTAAACCAGTTCTAGAACAAGAGAACTGGTTTAGTTTAAGTAATTAATTTGGTTTAATTCCTCCAGGTGTAGAGATGAGGAGAGAGGTGAAAAGGTGTATAGCAAGCTGAGGATGTTAGACTTGAGATCAATCTATAAGACTTTCATTTGTCTATGAATTCTGATGGTTCTGGAAAGTCAGCTTTTTTAGGTGTTCCCAGTCTTTTATCCAACATGCTTACAGATGCTCAGTCCTCAGCAGGACTGACAGGGGCTCTGGCTGAGTATACTGGAACCAAAGTCAATACACCAGCAATGGTAGAGAGCAATCACTCATCTGAATAACTAAGTGGTAAAGTGTCTGATTTTGTTTTTATTTCTTACCTTCAATCTTGTCTCATATTTAATGTATTTGAACAATATTTCTTTAGAAGGTCAACCCATTCCCATTCTTTCCTATGGCACCCTTTGTAAATTATATGCTGCCAGCAGCAATTCTTAGAGGTTTTTCCCATATTCTGGTTACAGCTGCATATTATGCATAAATATGTAAACATGCAGAGCCCTAAGGGGAGAAACCTTTATAACTGTCATGTGACTCAGTCATGAAAATAAGCTGACATAGTTCATAGGCCAAAGAGTACCAAATGATAATATAAACCATTACAGAAACAATCAGCACATTTCCTCAAACAACATAAAAGGTTGAATGAAAATATAACATGTTAAAAACTAAGAACCGTGTTCTTAGGAGCCAATTAACCAACCAAGGAAGACTATTTTGTCTTACCACTTCAACCACCAGCATCCAGCTATTTTGATTTGGTGATATTCATCAGTGGTCTTAAGCTCATGAGCAAAATAGGGAGTAGCATCAAGCCTCAATACCAGTTCTGGCAGAATTCTGTTAAAAACAGAATGATTTCCACTTAACTGCTTTAGATAACTGAAATTACTTAGAAGTCTTGTCAGCCCAAGCTTGGTCTTGTTGCAATAAGTGTTTGTATTACATTGCAATTTTTTATAATTGAAGTACATCAGATAACGACAGAAGTTTATTACATATACTGGTTGTTATGTTCATTCATTTAACTTGTCTCATCAAAGAACTTGAATTATATGAATTATATTCCTCTTCTTTTTATTAGCAGAATCTCACTTAGCCAAGTTAGATACTAAGCCAACCATCTGTAATCATATAGGTACTCTATTTTAGAAAATCACCTCATCACTCTTATTTCTAAGTTTGTTAACCATCAACGCGAGTGGTGCAGGAGCATTTTAACATGTTTAGGACAGTAAATTTTCAGTTCTGATTAATGTTCATTAATCTCACTGGTGAGGAAATTGGGAACTTCATTTTTATGCAATGCAAGTGCATCTTCCCCCCCCCCCAATATGGAAGAGACAGTTATTCTCTTTTTTTGTTTTGTAATGAAACATCTAAAAACCCATTTATTAATACTATTCTTCCACATTCAATTTAAAACAAACCCAAAATAACCATGACTGTGACTTCCTGTTGTTGTCACCCCGTGTATTTTTCCCTAATGGTTTTTGTCCTTCATCAATGTAAGCCTATCATCCACTTCCTTTTTATCATGTTTATTCTGTTGTATGCTGATGAACTAGAAGAAAAGCTTGATTTTCATAAAATAGATAACTTGCCATTATAGCCAAAGAGAATGAATATTTTCAAATTTTACAAATCTAATGGTTTGATTATACAGTATCTCTTGCAATTATAATTTTCAGAAATATTGAGTATAGTCACATTTAAGGTACCACAATAAGATTTTTACTTTGTTCTTAGGGTAGTTATAAATCCAAATATCACTCCTTAAAATGCATTTTTATTGAAGAATATGTAACTGGGTAGTCTTAAGATGAGTCACCTTTTGCTTCTATAGCTGTCATGGAAACTGGCAAGATGGAAAAATTTTAAAAAATGGAGAAGTGTAGCAGTATTTTAAAATTCATATACATGATCTTTATATTTGTACAATAGTCTTTCTTAATAAGAACTTACCATTAATGAATATAGGACAGCTTTGGAAAAAGAGACAAACACTAGTGCATCTTATTGATATGTAAATTTAGTGGACTCAAAGGATCACTTCAAGTGCATATGCATTTTCTGTATCCCCATTTATTTTAGTGGATCTTGTGAATTCTTAGTAATTCTTGCCTGCTGCAACGGTCCTGTTGCAACAGTGTTTTGGAAGAGTTGATGCACGATTCAAAAAACTTAACTTACTTTTTGCAGTTGTCTGGAAGAAATGCATGTTCAAGTCCTAACAGATAGCCCTAAATGCTATAGGGTTGTTCCCTCTTAAAAGTTAACTCACAGCTGACTTGGTCCTAAAGTTGAATGCGTACAAATACAGTTCTAGTGCCTACATGGATCTGTGGCTTATTTTCTCTTCCAGGAGGCTTCACGTGACTCCTGCTGAAGAAGAAAAATGATAGTGATCTAAGATGTTGCTTCAGTATGAACTGCATTAGACATTATTAACTGTAGTGAAGCTAGCTAATTCTTTAGTTCTTTGTTTAAATGCCTGATACTTGAGTATAAAATGCCAAGCTTGACACTGCATGGGACCACTGTTAGGGGTAGACATTGAGAATTCTACTCAGTTAACTTGATTTTATACTGACATTGTTGCAATTCAGCAGTCCATTTTCTTTGGGTTTTTCTCCTTCTATTTTTACCTCTATTTTAAATAAATTTTTTTTCAATACCAGCATATGACTGGTAAAGGTGGATTGGGGCTTTTTGTTTTTAAGAAAGCTTTCAGAATCACAGGCCACTACAAATAGGTAGGAATGTAAATTTTAGAATAGAAAACTGCTCAAAATATTAAAAAAAAAAAAAATCACAATTACAGGCTTTGAAATATTACAGTCAATCTCTTTGGACAATGTGAAGAAATTTAAGAGCATAAATTACTTAATTGCAAAGGCAAAAAAAAAAAAACCCAACCCAAAAAACCAAACCCCAGCCCTCTCCAGCTATAATTTCATTTTTCAAACTCAAAATTTAGTCTGTATACTTCACAACAGCTCAGTTATTACCACTATCACTATATTTTTAGTAATAGGAACTTTGTGGGAAGTCGTATCAATTAATATTAATCTGGAAAAAATGCTTAATTCTTCCCTGTATTCAGAAATGGCTTGAAACATTACAAAGAAATCATTGCTATGTGAAGTAGAGCTATGGTAAGAGTGGGAACACACTGAAAAACGTATTTCTCAATTTGAAAATAAATAAAATAAACTCTGATGACCCACCTGTAATGAAAATTAACAAAGTATATTATCTGTTTCTAAGCAATCTGTGCTGCATAGATATTTGTTTTTATATGTTGCCATTAATTTTTTTCTGTATTTTTTGTAACTTGCTTCCTAGCAATTTTAAGAACTTTAATTTAAACTTCAGAATCTCTAATTTATGGTTTGCTTGTTTATTTTAATTATGACGTACAATTCCAGTTACTACTGTCTGCTGAGTAAAAGGTTGCTGCTTATAGTCCTGTGTCAACTTAATGCTAGCTGTTACCAAGATCAAGAACAGCGTACAGTGCGTTCTGCCCATCTTTCATCTGTCCATTTTAAAGTAATCTAGTACTCTTACACCATATGAGAGTATATCATTAAATTTCATGCCTTTTTTAAAATGTTTGTTAATCAACTTTACTTGAAATTCAGTTTTGAAGGATCCATTTCAAATTCTGCTCTAGTTAAGTGTAACCATCTTTCTAATTGTTAAAATATACTTCTGAAAATGAGAAAGCTTTGAGGATCATTAAGAAAGCAGAAGTTTCAAGTGCTCGTTAATGAAAGGCTGTTCGTTCTGCCTTACTCTTACACATGTAATAAATAGCTTGACAAATGTTCTCATCAAAGGCTAATAATCCAGAATGATTATTAGAGAATGGAGTTAAGAAAAATAAGCTTCTGTAATTGTTTATTCCATGGTGATTCTGAGCTGATAATGAAAAAATACTTGTTACATCTGTTTAGTTTTACAGTATTTGTTGAATCTATTCAGTACTAAAACCAGACCCTCTTCAGTCAGTGGAATTAAAATCTTTATATGCTGACAGCACTCCTTTTTCAGCCTTAGAATGAATATCCAAATGGTCTCAAATCTTCAAGAAGTGAAAATGCATTTAAAAGACAACTTTGGAAATTTACACAGATGTAGACAGAAAGTGATTTTGTGGTATTAGTTAGAGCTCTAAAGATTTACATATATTATGCACTTCTACTAATAGGTTTCACTATGGATGCCAGACCATTTCTAGAGTGACTAGTTAGGAATAGTGGGAAAATGGAAGAGAAGATTCCAAGGTTCTGAGCTTTCTTGGGATTCATGTTGTTCTCCAGTACTTCTCTCTAATTGTGATGAGCTGATGCAGTTTTAAAATATGATTTGGCTTTTTTATTTGCTGTTTGTTTATAACCATACTAGTACAGTGAAGAATGCTCTCAGATAAGACTCAGAATGACTTCCTGAATGCCTCTGTATAGGAAGTAATAAAATGTTTGGATGCTGTCTAAACTGAATTACTTTATTATAAAACCTTAGACTTCCATATAACCAGAAATGTAAATAAATAGAGTAGGCCAGGTTATACTTTCTTCTTAATTATACTAACTACTTGCTAATCCAGATAAACTATTTGCAGTGCTTCATTTTCATAAGGTTTCAGTAATCGTAGATAAATTTCTTCATGTGCATAATTGTACAGCTGTAGCTTTTTTCTTAGTAATAAGGTACACCATGTATGTTTCCTATGTCATTACCTGAATCAACATCTAAAGTGTACTGTATTTTTTACAGTAGCACTTTGAGTCTCATTCAGGCTAAGTGGAAACAATTCAATTATAGTAACTGCAATTGTACGTTTTTCCAACACATTTTTAAGGTATTGTTTTAAGGTGGCATTTGTAACTTGTAATATTTTCTTGTTACCTAAAAAACCCCAAATCCAACCCTCTTGTAACACTTTCTTCAATAACCTCTAGAACTTGGTTGGAAAATTAAGTGTACATACAGGAAAGTTGATAGACTTTGCTATATGCAGTCTCTGAGTTTCTCCTATTTTATTCATCTTTACCTATGCAGAAATACAGATCCAACTGTTTATTTTTCTTCTTCCTGTCCTTCCTCTACTCTTAAAGTGCAAAATGCATATTATATACAAGTATAACCTCCTCAGTGATTAATCATTTTTTCTTCTCTGCACAGTCCCTTCAGTCTGAGTATGTTCAGTACTAAAGCTTTGCTGCTTTGGTGAAACCTGTTGAGCTCTTAAAATCGACGTCCTTCACGACGGAGAAGAATTTAAGGAAGGAAGCTGCTTACTCAGAGGAGGAATCTCCAATACAAGACATATTAAAACCTTAACACCAAGAGGAGACTTCTTAACAGTCAGAAATCTCTTGTTAATGACTACTGCAGATGCACTGATGTTGAATTTATGGAAATTATTTTACCCCATGTTATATACAGATTTAAATTTTTAATGCTGAGACAGCTTGAATATATTTCTAATGAGTTTCATTCACATTTATTAACTTGTGTACAGTGTTAAAATATGTATTAAGAGAATATTTTGATAAGCAATATATATAAAAATTATGTAAAGAATATATTTTAATTTAGTATTGTTCACTTCTTTGCTACAAAAATGTGTATTTTAAAGAATTTTTACGTGTTTATCAAAGATGAAAATTTTTTTATGAAGAAGATGTTTTTCTTGTTTTGTGGGTCCATCATTATTGCTAAAAGCCTAATGTAATTACTTTTTCACTAATTGGTCTTCTGGTAACTTAATGGAAGCTGAACTAGTGAGAGACTAGTTACCACACTATCAACTGAAATCTCTTGATGCATAGTCTGCTTTCCACTTTTAGCTGCTAATGTTTCATAAGGAAACACTATGAACAAAAGAAAAAAAGAAAAAAAAAAAAGGGAAAATCTTTGTTGAGATGTAATGTAACTTACATCTTTCATTGCAAAGAACAAGTAATTTATCAGATGATTCAATTGAACAATTAAGGCTTTCTTTCCATTTGTCTTAAAGCAATGTTTTAACTTTTTTTCCAGTGGATGGTGAGACACTGGAACAGGTTGCCCAGGGAAATCATGGATGCCTCATCCCTGGAGGTGTTCAAGGCCAGGCTGGATGGGTCTTTGAGCACCCGGCTCTAGGGGGAGGTGTCCCTGCCCATGGCAGGGGGGTTGGAACTAGATGATCTTTAAGGTCCCTTCCAACCCAAACCATTCTATGATTCGATGATGATTCTATGATTCGTTTCAATGTAGAATGTTAAATTTTGCTATGCAATATATACTGCAAAAATGGAGGCAGGTTCTTTAAGAATGTGTATGTACAACAAATTTGGCAGTGCTGCATACTTACATGCCTTTAACCTAAATTTGGCCAGAAGTGTACAGTTCCATTAGCAAAACAAACTGAAGTAAATGTTAGAAGTATAAAATTTTCGCTTATCAGTTGGATGCTTCATAAACTTTTTAATTTGAAAACTATCGTTAAACATACAGCTAATGTAACCTGTATCACAGAATGTTTTTGTCAATAGTAAAGATGTTCTTTAATGTATAGTTTAATCAGGTGCGGTTAGGAATGAGACTTAGAATGAAGTGGTGTTACAATGAAATATTAGAGACCACATGTAAAATTTTCAGAACTCCACAAAAAATGGAAGCAGCTGTGAAGACTTGATTTGTCGCTAATTTTGAAAACAAAAGCAAAACAGATTTGTTACCTATGAGTTTTTCCAATATCAAGGGCAACTTGAAAATAAAATTTGGTTGAATTGTCAGTCTTTATTCCTGAAGACCTGTGAATACCCTATATTTGCTTTGCAACTGAAGTTAAGATAAAGTGCCACATTATTTTTTTAAGAAGATCAGATCACAAATTGGTATGGAAAGTTGTACTCAAAGTGTTAATAAGCAATACTGAGAGCAGCTATATAAATCACTGAATAAAATTTACATGCAATACTGTACTTTTTTCACAACTGTGTATATGTAACATATACACACACAAAGTAGCATATGTGTGTGCATATATATACAATATACTGTATATGAATTATAGATAAATTGGTAAGGTAATTCTACCTCTTATAAAGAATTTTGTCATGTACTTTGTTATAAATAGTTTTCCTTAATAAAATATTGTTTAATTTTGAAATGTAGATATATATATACATACAGCTAATTGATAATAAAATGCCTATATCAGCCACCTTCCTTTTTTCTTGGCTTTTCTTGCTTAGATCTTTTGATGTAAACTAATATGATTAGATCTCTAATTGAAGAGTAGCTCTTCAAAATTACCTTCTTCTAAGGCATGTAATATATTTATAAATAAGATGCCACTGCAAAAAGACATTAGTATGACGGGTATCTTTTATAACTGCTCTCCCTAGCTAGTCTTCTCATGCTTTTTTGCATGTACAACAGGTTTCTTAATCTCACTAACAGCAGGGTCTTTGTCCATAAGAACCCAAAAGATCACGCTATCACTTAGCTTTTTATCCTTCCTTCAATTAAAAACTAGTCACAAGTGGTTTTAACACTCTTTAACTCAGCTGCTGAGTTTCAGCAAATTTGTTGTGTTGCATGATTGTTTATCCATGGTGCTTAACATTCCTGTCAGATAAGTCTGTACCGCAGGAGACAACGCGGACAGTATGTAACTGTTACACAGCCACTCTAAAGGAACAGCAAAGCCAGAAATAGAGCAGATGCTTTAGAAGTTGCCCAAATTCTAGTGCTAGTCTAATCTAAAAACACGATAAAAGGCTTCTGCCACTAGATTCAGACAACTAAGGGATGTTGATTTGGATGTGTAAATATAAAGGAAGAACAGCTAATTAAAAAGTTTCTAGTACGTAGGCATCACCATCTCCCTTAGCCTTTTTCTAGACTTAACTTTGATTGATTTATTATATGAAATACAGTAAATGCCAGCTAATTTACAACTTATTTTTTGTTCTTAAAAATAAATGATAAATATAGCCAGTGTTCTGTAAAAATCAGCTTAACAACAACAAATCTGGCGACAGTGAAAGACCAGGGAGGTCTCTAGAATCTTTTAGCTTCTAAGAAATAGCCTGAAATTTGTTTCATATCCTCTGCTCATTTATCCTTGAACTTTACCGTTTCTGTTGCTTCCTATATAAATATATATCTTTGTTTCGGGAGAACAAGCTGTAGCACATGAGATCTTTAAAAAGAGGTTTAATAAACACATGAGGATGGACTAAATAAATCCAGAGGTCTCTACAGGGCCTATGATTGTGTGGCTAATGCCTTATGAAACTGTTAATAATCTCTTTAAAGTATGCTTTATGAAGCTTTTTGGTGAGGGAGATAATTTTTGTTACAGATTTAGAGAATATTTTTCAATTACAGTACTGCAGAAAGAGGAGGATTTTAGTTTCTATAATAACTGTTCTCTACTGACAGCTAAACAATGAAAGGCCTCAAAAGGTTTGACACTTGATTAGATCTACACTGTAAAGTGCAGCAGGCAAAAAATATGGTAATTAAGGGCCTGATGGAGTAAATCACTCAGGTATGTCTTTAACCTTAAGCACATGAGCAAGCTAATTAATTAAGAAAGAACATAGATAATCATATTTGTAACAAATCTGCATTTGGATCAATAGTCCTGTCATTTGCAAACATGAGCCTTTCTATCAAAAGATGTGCTATGTGGCAACTAAATAATCCATTGACCCACACAACTTCATTATCTTGTTTTTTTTATACTGTAACTATAATTACATCCTAATATATTATTTTGTATTGTCATTTGTTAGCATTGTGAGTTTAACAATATCTAAAAACATCTTACAAAAATATCTCTGATCAATATACAGGCCATACTTTACAAGCTGAGATAGCTTACTTCTATAGCCGACATAGAAACCAACCTGCAAAAGCAGCTTTTCTCCTAAACTCACCATGAAATTAATCCTTTTCTAGAAAGCTTTTGAGAGGAAATGTAAGTCCTTTTACTCCGCTCCTTATCAAATCTTTTCCCGGGTAAGGAGAGTTAACATTTTGTCCCCGATTGAGTAAAGCACTGTAGAATTACTGAGAGAATCCCACTACTAACTTCTTCATTTGGGAAGGGAGTGTTAAGCCCCGCTCTTCAACCAGTTTTTAGTCCGCCCAAGAACCTGTCACTCACCTTTCCAGAACCTTGTGCTCTGAATTAATTTCGGAGTGAGACCGTTTGGTGCGGTACACGGATTCTGTTTTATCTGTGTCCTCACTGACACCAGCATTCACCTCTGGCAGGTTGGTGATGCAGGATTTCCCGCGGGCTGAGACAGGCTGACTTATATGAAGAAATGCACAATGTATAGATTGAGGATCAGCTTCCTCAAATAAGAAGTTCTGTCTTACCAGGGATTTGTGTATCTATCATGTTTGAAAGATTTCATTTGGAAATTATATTGTTATTACAGACCAGTTCTAAAATTAACTTCAAGCTTGCAGAAGCATAGTGCACTTTCTCTTAACAAAAATAAGATCAGAAAAAAATCAGTTTAAGTGAGTACCTAGCAGAGGAGTTTCTACAGTAAATGGATTGTATTTCAGACAGAAGTGACTGATACTGGTTTGAAAGCCTGCTGCAAATGAAAGTTGTGTAAATGAGTTAGAAGCAGGAAACTGGTGAGGCAGAGAAGAGTCAGACTGTAGTTGCAGTATTTCTGGAGCACGATAGGGTTGGGAATTTTTTTTTTTTTTTCTTCTTGATTTAACAAGTTGAAAATCTGCTGAATAATTCATGAAGAGTGGAAGGGCTGAATCTTCCTGGAATGATATACAGTGTACGTACTGTGGCACAGGAGAAACTGCAAAGCTTTGTATCAGTTGCTGCCGTTTCTGCTGCTGATTGCAAGGTGCTGCTGCTTTTGGCATTTTCACAGCTACAGAATCCTCAGTTGTGCTCCCGTCTGCTAACAGCTATCTGCTCCCTATGGACCCACCTTCTCTAGCTACAGTCCGTGGGATCTCTTGCTGCCTACCTGCCTTGGACATCGCCGTTCTCTGGATCGCTACTGCGAACTGCCTTTTCTGGACCTTGCAGCTCGTATGACTGAAACCTGCCTTGGAGTCCCTCAGCTGCACATCCTCCCTTGTGCTCACTGGGAGACTCCTGCAGCAGGATCTTCTGACCCAGACAAGGATGGGATTTACAGGGAGAAGTCAAAACTGAGCTGCATTCAGCGAGATGCCCAACGCCTCTTCCTGGAGTGCTAGCTCGCCTCTGCTGCTGCTCTGGGAGGACTCCTCCGGGACGCGCATCTTCCTGTCGCTGCTCTACGCAGTCTTAGCTATCTCAGGGACTTTATCCAATGTGATGGTCATCTACTTAGTCTTCTCCTTCAAGAAGCTACAGACAACCAGCAATGCCTTCATAGTGAACGGCTGTGCGGCAGACCTAAGCGTGTGTGCCCTGTGGATGCCCCAGGAGGCTGTGCTGGGGCTGCTGCCTCCCAACTCCTCCTCCCTTCGTTCGGCGGAGTACCGGCTGCTCCGAGGGGGGCTCCTCGGCCTCGGCCTCACCGTCTCCCTGGCCTCCCACCTGCTGGTGGCCTTCAACAGGTACGTGCTCATCACCAAGCTGCCCAGCGTGTACCAGGCCCTCTACCAGCGGAGACACACGGGCTGCATGATCGGGCTCTCCTGGGCCCTCGCCCTGCTCCTCGTCCCGCTGCTGCCCGGGCTCTGGACGCCGGGCTCCGGCCAGCAGCCGCCCCCGCGGCCGACGGACGGCAGCTCTCGCTACACCGCCCTGCTCCTCGCCCTGGCCGTGCTGGGCCAGACCGCGCTGCTGCTCCACTGCTACCTGGGCATCGTGCGGCGGGTGCGGGGCAGCGCCAAGCGGGTCAGCGTCCTCAACTTCCACCTCCTCCACCAGCTGCCCTTCCCCGCCGCCCCGCCGCCGCCCCGCCGCGCCCAGCGCCGCCTCAGCAGCGTCTCCGTCCTGCTGCTCTGCTGCGTCTTCCTCCTGGGCACCCAGCCTCTGGTGTGGGTCAGCCTCCTGGGCTTCTTCCTGCGCCCGGCGCCGCCGGCGCTACAGGCCGCCAGCTGGCTGCTCCTCTGCTCCCTCTCGGCCCTCAACCCCTTGCTCTACACATGGCGCAGCGAGGAGTTCCGCCGGGCGGCCCGCTCCGTCCTGCCCCGCGGCGAGGGCCCCGCCGCCGCCCCGCGCCC